GTGATCACACGCTATTTAATTGGAACTGTAGGCCTAATGCTTATTTATTATTTATGGTTTTTACCTGTTCTAATTAAAATACAATCATTAAAAAAATAAGTAGATATAGATCTAGTGTTTTCCTAACGTCTTTGTGTGTTTTGGCTGTGTTTATAATAAAATACACTCAACCGGAGAATAAAATATGCTAAAATGGAGTTTTACCCTAGCTCATTAATAACAATACAAAATAATGCAATAGTCAATAGTTATATTACTGAACTGATCATATTCATATGTCAGACTGTCATATGACATGTATAGAGTTTAGTATTATAGATCTATCTAGATCTTACATTGTAACCATATTATCTTAAGAATTTTGTTGACAACTATTTGTGAACAATTGATTTCATTTGTAACCCTCCAGGTCTCTGAACCTTAAAGCAGTACTACCTTAATATTTAATATAGTATCAACTATACAATAAATAACTTTCTATTCAATGTTATTATTACCAAAAATAAATTCCTAGTCATCACTTTTATAACTGGCAAATCATTTTTAATGCATTGGGCTTTTTTTTTCATACATTAAAAGTTAGGTCAATTCTTCTAAAACTCTTTACTGATACACAAAAGATAAAATGAATTTCTCATCTAAAACAGTTAAAATGGGTAAAAAGGTGGAAAAGAATTTGTCTAAAGACCGGCACCTATCATCAGCACACCACGAAGACGAGAGTTTGACTAAAACACCAGGTAACTTGTTGTTGAACCAACTTTATGTTTTGGGTTGGTTGAAAGATTTGGGTTGCTTGAAAGATTTGGGTTGGTTGAAAGATTTGGGTTGCTTGAAAGATTTGGGTTGCTTGAAAGATTTGGGTTGGTTGAAAGATTTGGGTTGGTTGAAAGATTTGGGTTGGTTGAGAGATTTGGGTTGGTTGAGAGATTTGGGTTGGTTGAGAGATTTGGGTTGCTTGAGAGATTTGGGTTGGTTGAAAGATTTGGGTTGGTTGAAAAATTTGGGTTGGTTGAAAAATTTGGGTTGGTTGAAAAATTTGGGTTGGTTGAAAAATTTGGGTTGGTTGAAAAATTTGGGTTGGTTGAAAGATTTGGGTTGGTTGAAAGATTTGGGTTGGTTGAAAGATTTGGGTTGGTTGAAAGATTTGGGTTGGTTGAGAGATTTGGGTTGGTTGAAAGATTTGGGTTGGTTGAAAGATTTGGGTTGGTTGAGAGATTTGGGTTGGTTGAGAGATTTGGGTTGGTTGAAAGATTTGGGTTGCTTGAAAGATTTGGGTTGGTTGAAAGATTTGGGTTGGTTGAAAGATTTGGGTTGGTTGAGAGATTTGGGTTGGTTGAAAGATTTGGGTTGGTTGAGAGATTTGGGTTGGTTGAGAGATTTGGGTTGGTTGAGAGATTTGGGTTGGTTGAAAGATTTGGGTTGGTTGAAAGATTTGGGTTGGTTGAAAGATTTGGGTTGGTTGAAAGATTTGGGTTGCTTGAAAGATTTGGGTTGCTTGAAAGATTTGGGCTTATCTTGTGAATAATATGTCATTGAGAACTTTGCACTTATATTTGTTGTTAGTAATTGACAAGATAGAACAGACTGCAGGCTCTGACATAGGCCTCAATATAAATTCTGTTAGCTTCTTTCTTTTTCTGCAACTTTTAGCAAAGATATCCCCTGGGAACTGAATATTTTCAAAAACTAGTTTATTCCAATAATAAAATGTTTTGATGCTAAATTTTAGAGATATTGCATGATGCTGACAGCTCAGAGCGTAAGTCATGGTGTTGTATGCTGTTTTTTTTTCTCCTGGTATTTAAGAGTTATCTTTCCATGTGTTTGTTTAGCATGTTGTATTTGAGTTTTCCTCTTTTTACTAGCTTGTATTCTGAAGAAAGTCATTTTAGTCAGTTTTTCAACCAATCAAATGTATAGGCATTTTTCAGTGTATGTTAATATGAAAATAAATGTCACACAAAAAGCCAGAGCTACACATCAACCCTCAACCAAAATGTTTTTTTTTTTAAAAATCAATTTTGGCTAAGTAGGGTGCTGACCCTACTATAATATTTGACATACTTTCCATTTAAATTTTGAAGGGAGGCCAATCTTAATCTTTATGTAAAATTACGCCAAATATTATCTTAAATGAAAGTTTATCCTAATTAAATCTATTCTAGTACTACAAAACAGATTTATATGAAATATTTAAGGCCTTAAATAGTTGAGTCAAATAAATACAGTTATTCTGACTTGTTTTTTGTTTTTAACTAATTGATATTTATTTGAAAAAACCTCTCAGACAAACCTTGGTTTTAAACTTCTAGATTCTAGTTTCTCCTAAATAAAATCATTAGATTCTCAAATTAGATCTGTCAATTTAATGCTATTGAAAATTGTTAATAGTGTTGGAACCTAATAAAAATAACTAGCAGACATTATAAAAGCTACCTACAGCCAAAATTTAGCTTACAATGCAATCAACTTTTTAATCAACTTTTTAATCAGCAACATAGCCTAGATTCCATGGAAGCCATGTTGTAAAAATAGTGTTCTCAAGTTGAACAATTAAAAGTGTGTTTTTACAGATAAATATGACATTCATTCAATTTAGATCTTTTGAAAAAAAAAACCTTTTTCTCTCCATAAATACATACATTTTATAGTTGAACACATATTTTGGATGCTCTGATGAAGCAATATGGACAAATTCATATCCAGACTTGTCAACATAGTTGAGTTTTAGAAGTTTAAAGATACTGTCGGGGGGGGGGGGGGGGGCAGAGCAGCAGTGTTTTTTCCACTTTTTTCTCAGGGGGGGGGGGGGGGGGGGCACTTGAAATTTTTGGGGGCAGACACTGTTAAAAGTATATATTTTCTATATAGGCCCCACTAAAGAGATGCCTGGAAGAAACACTGGGGAAGAGTTGCTCCCCCTACAACCATCTAAAGGACAATGGCACCTTTTTCTGAGATTAATTAAATAAAATACAAAACAACCTTGGCAACACAAAATTTAATTAAAAAAGCAAACACATTACTAAAAATATGAATTTAAAACAGTCATGTAACGTAGCCTAAATACCACACTTTAAATGCCTAGGCCTATACTTCTTGGCTTACTTCTCTGATCCTAGATGCTTGACAGGCACAAGCGAGGTGCTTTATATCAATCCACGTCAGCACCTGTACATCTGCTGTTTGTCACCATGACAACCCACGTCAGCACCTGTACACCTGCTGTTTGTCTCCTTCTGGTTACTTAAAATATCACAGCTCACAATTTGGCAATCTTGGCACAACCCACTACATGTTTTAATAGATTCATTTTTATTGTTCCCTTTTTACCCTAAGGCTTTGCAAATGTTTTTGGTATTGGCATAGACTATAGAATAATATCCACACAGTGTTGTAAATGTATTGGCATAGACTATAGAATAATATCCACACAGTGTTGTAAATGTATTGGCATAGACTATAGAATAATATCCACACAGTGTTGTAAATGTATTGGCATAGAGTATAGAATAATATCCACACAGTGTTGTAAATGTATTGGCATAGAGTATAGAATAATATCCACACAGTGTTGTAAATGTATGAGCATAGAGTATAGAATAATATCCACACAGTGTTGTAAATGTATTGGCATAGAGTATAGAATAATATCCACACAGTGTTGTAAATGTATTGGCATAGAGTATAGAATAATATCCACACAGTGTTGTAAATGTATTGGCATAGAGTATAGAATAATATCCACACAGTGTTGTAAATGTATTGGCATAGAGTATAGAATAATATCCACACAGTGTTGTAAATGTATTGGCATAGAGTATAGAATAATATCCACACAGTGTTGTAAATGTATTGGCATAGAGTATAGAATAATATCCACACAGTGTTGTAAATGTATTGGCATAGAGTATAGAATAATATCCACACAGTGTTGTAAATGTATTGGCATAGAGTATAGAATAATATCCACACAGTGTTGTAAATGTATTGGCATAGAGTATAGAATAATATCCACACAGTGTTGTAAATGTATTGGCATAGAGTATAGAATAATATCCACACAGTGTTGTAAATGTATTGGCATAGAGTATAGAATAATATCCACACAGTGTTGTAAATGTATTGGCATAGAGTATAGAATAATATCCACACAGTGTTGTAAATGTATTGGCATAGAGTATAGAATAATATCCACACAGTGTTGTAAATGTATTGGCATAGAGTATAGAATAATATCCACAGTGTTGTAAATGTATTGGCATAGAGTATAGAATAATATCCACACAGTGTTGTAAATGTATTGGCATAGAGTATAGAATAATATCCACACAGTGTTGTAAATGTATTGGCATAGAGTATAGAATAATATCCACACACACAGTGTTGTAAATGTATTGGCATAGAGTATAGAATAATATCCACACAGTGTTGTAAATGTATTGGCATAGAGTATAGAATAATATCCACACAGTGTTGTAAATGTATTGGCATAGAGTATAGAATAATATCCACACAGTGTTGTAAATGTATTGGCATAGAGTATAGAATAATATCCACACACACAGTGTTGTAAATGTATTGGCATAGACTATAGAATAATATCCACACAGTGTTGTAAATGTATTGGCATAGACTATAGAATAATATCCACACACACAGTGTTGATTTGTCTAGAATGTTGCTGAGCTCAGTTTTTCTGTTTTCTAAATGTAAACTTTGCTATAGATCTTCAAGTTACATATAATGAACCTGTCCAGGCAGGTAGACAAGAAGAAAAATATTTTGCTGAGAATTTTTTATTTGAAATCTCTACAGAGCCATACAAATGTGTCGGGAATTTTTTAGTTGACTTTACAGAACTGTGCAAGCAAAACTCTATGGCTGTCATCCCAAGCGTGACTGTCCGCCCCAAACCTCCTGCAGGTCAGTCAGGTTCTGTTGAGTTGAAATCTTCAAAAAAAGAGGATAAAAAACAGGTGATTCAAGTTCATGACCCTGAGCCAGACACAGAGCACCCAGAAGATGGAGGTCTGTTCCCATTGGTTTACTCTCTGAGTCATAACATTTTACACCATAAATACTGAACTCTTCATTTTTAAAGTTGCAAATTTTGTTCTTCTTTTGAGCATTAGTATATTAATTTTAATTCTATACTTGAAAAACAAATCACTGAATAAAGTTTAGAGTTAATACCTGTAGTTGTTTATATTTAGAATCTCCGTGCACATTTTGATCTTCAGAAGTGGGAGAGTGGCTTCCTAAAACCTATACAACTAAACCAAAGTCTGAATATTTCAAGCCCTCAGTGCAGGTGGAGTTGGATGTAGCTGAGAGATGGGACACAGTCACTGAGGTGCATGTGCGAGGTGAGGGCTGCTCAGTTTGGCTACTTCAGATTTACTACAACACTACTTTAGATTTACTACTGTGTGTGGGGATGTTGGGTTGTGTGTAGGGGGGGGGGGAATGTTGGGTTGTGTGTGGGGGGGGGGGAAATGTTGGGTTGTGTGTGTGTGTGGGGGGGGGGGAAATGTTCGGTTGTGTGTGGGGGGAATATTGGGTTGTATGTGTGGGGAATATTGGGTTGTATGTGTGGGGGGGGGGGGGGAAATTGGGATGTGTGGGGGTATGGTGGGTTGTGTGTGAGATGTTGGGTTGTATGTCAGATGTTGTATGTCAGATGTTGTATGTCAGATGTTGTATGTCAGATGTTGTATGTCAGATGTTGGGTTGTATGTCAGATGTTGGGTTGTATGTCAGATGTTGGGTTGTATGTCAGATGCTGGGTTGTATGTCAGATGCTGGGTTGTATGTCAGATGCTGGGTTGTATGTCAAATGTTGTATGTCAGATGTTGGGTTGTATGTCAGATGTTGGGTTGTATGTCAGATGTTGGGTTGTATGTCAGATGTTGGGTTGTATGTCAGATGCTGGGTTGTATGTCAGATGCTGGGTTGTATGTCAGATGCTGGGTTGTATGTCAGATGTTGTATGTCAGATGTTGTATGTCAGATGTTGGGTTGTATGTCAGATGTTGGGTTGTATGTCAGATGTTGGGTTGTATGTCAGATGTTGTATGTCAGATGTTGGGTTGTATGTCAGATGTTGGGTTGTATGTCAGATGTTGTATGTCAGATGTTGGGTTGTATGTCAGATGTTGTATGTCAGATGTTGGGTTGTATGTCAGATGTTGGGTTGTATGTCAGATGTTGGGTTGTATGTCAGATGTTGGGTTGTATGTCAGATGTTGTATGTCAGATGTTGTATGTCAGATGTTGTATGTCAGATGTTGGGTTGTATGTCAGATGTTGGGTTGTATGTCAGATGTTGTATGTCAGATGTTGTATGTCAGATGTTGGGTTGTATGTCAGATGTTGGGTTGTATGTCAGATGTTGGGTTGTATGTCAGATGTTGTATGTCAGATGTTGTATGTCAGATGTTGTATGTCAGATGTTGGGTTGTATGTCAGATGTTGGGTTGTATGTCAGATGCTGGGTTGTATGTCAGATGCTGGGTTGTATGTCAGATGCTGGGTTGTATGTCAGATGCTGGGTTGTATGTCAAATGTTGTATGTCAAATGTTGTATGTCAAATGTTGTATGTCAGATGTTGGGTTGTATGTCAGATGTTGGGTTGTATGTCAGATGTTGTATGTCAGATGTTGTATGTCAGATGTTGTATGTCAGATGTTGGGTTGTATGTCAGATGTTGGGTTGTATGTCAGATGCTGGGTTGTATGTCAGATGCTGGGTTGTATGTCAGATGCTGGGTTGTATGTCAGATGCTGGGTTGTATGTCAAATGTTGTATGTCAAATGTTGTATGTCAGATGTTGTATGTCAGATGTTGTATGTCAGATGTTGTATGTCAGATGTTGTATGTCAGATGTTGTATGTCAGATGTTGTATGTCAGATGTTGTATGTCAGATGTTGTATGTCAGATGTTGTATGTCAGATGTTGTATGTCAGATGTTGTATGTCAGATGTTGTATGTCAGATGTTGTATGTCAGATGTTGTATGTCAGATGTTGTATGTCAGATGTTGTATGTCAGATGTTGTATGTCAGATGTTGTATGTCAGATGTTGTATGTCAGATGTTGTATGTCAGATGTTGTATGTCAGATGTTGTATGTCAGATGTTGTATGTCAGATGTTGTATGTCAGATGTTGTATGTCAGATGTTGTATGTCAGATGTTGTATGTCAGATGTTGTATGTCAGATGTATGTCAGATGTATGTCAGATGTATGTCAGATGTATGTCAGATGTATGTCAGATGTATGTCAGATGTATGTCAGATGTATGTCAGATGTTGGGTTGTATGTCAGATGTTGGGTTGTATGTCAGATGTTGGGTTGTATGACTATTTTGTTTTTAAGGCTGGAAGATCGACACGTCTATGATGGAAACATTTCGTCAGTGCTGGACCCTACTGGAGCGCCTGCATACAATCAAGTCAGTCTCTTACACGTTGGCTTCTTCTCATGTACAAAAATAACTTCTCAATACCCCAGGGTCAGGGTTTTGGTTAGGGTTTTGGTTAGGGTTAGGGTTTTGGTCAGGGTCAGGGTTTGGGTCAGGGTTTTGGTCAGGTTCAGGGTTTTGGTCAGGGTCAGGGTTAGGCTTGTATTGAAATGTTGAGAACCTTTTTCCCACCAGCTTGTGGAACACTGGGCTGACTGAAGCTTCACTAGTCTCACTGGCCGCCTTTCTGCCTCTGTGTCTTCACCTCAGGTGGGTCAACTTACAGAAATGTCAAACACATTCTTGCATGAGCTAAGTTTAACTTTGTTTAACTCACAGAAATGTCAAACACATTCTTGCATGAGCTAAGTTTAACTTTGTTTAACTCACAGAAATGTCAAACACATTCTTGCATGAGCTAAGTTTAACTTTGTTTAACTCACAGAAATGTCAAACACATTCTTGCATGAGCTAAGTTTAACTTTGTTTAACTCACAGAAATGTCAAACACATTCTTGCATGAGCTAAGTTTAACTTTGTTTAACTCACAGAAATGTCAAACACATTCTTGCATGAGCTAAGTTTAACTTTGTTTAACTCACAGAAATGTCAAACACATTCTTGCATGAGCTAAGTTTAACTTTGTTTAACTCACAGAAATGTCAAACACATTCTTGCATGAGCTAAGTTTAACTTTGTTTAACTCACAGAAATGTCATCTTAGATGGAAACAATGTCAAGGGAGAGAACTGGTCCGAGCTGATTGGTGCAGATAGCTTGTGAGTGGTTGTGTGGACCTTGTGTGATTGTGTGGACCTTGTGAGTGCTAGTGTGAGTGATTGTGTGGACATTGTGTGTGGTTGTGTGGACCTTGTGTGTGGTTGTGTGGACCTTGTGAGTGATTGTGTGGACCTTGTGAGTGATTGTGTGGACCTTGTGAGTGCTAGTGTGAGTGATTGTGTGGACATTGTGTGTGGTTGTGTGGACCTTGTGTGTGGTTGTGTTGACCTTGTGAGTGGTTGTGTGGACATTGTGAGTGATTGTGTGGACCTTGTGTGTGATTGTGTGGACCTTGTGAGTGATTGTGTGGACCTTGTGAGTGCTAGTGTGAGTGATTGTGTGGACATTGTGTGTGGTTGTGTGGACCTTGTGTGTGGTTGTGTTGACCTTGTGTGTGGTTGTGTGGACCTTGTGAGTGGTTGTGTGGACATTGTGAGTGATTGTGTGGACCTTGTGTGTGATTGTGTGGACCTTGTGAGTGATTGTGTGGACCTTGTGAGTGCTAGTGTTAGTGATTGTGTGGACATTGTGAGTGGTTGTGTGGACCTTGTGAGTGATTGTGTGGACCTTGTGAGTGATTGTGTGGACCTTGTGTGTGGTTGTGTGGACCTTGTGTGTGATTGTGTGGACCTTGTGTGTGGTTGTGTGGACCTTGTGAGTGATTGTGTGGACATTGTGAGTGATTGTGTTGACCTTGTGTGTGGTTGTGTGGACCTTGTGAGTGGTTGTGTGGACATTGTGAGTGATTGTGTGGACCTTGTGAGTGATTGTGTGGATCTTGTGAGTGATTGTGTGGACCTTGTGTGTGATTGTGTGGACCTTGTGAGTGATTGTGTGGACATTGTGAGTGATTGTGTGGACCTTGTGAGTGATTGTGTGGACCTTGTGTGTGGTTGTGTGGACCTTGTGGTTGTGTGGACCTTGTGTGTGGTTGTGTGGACCTTGTGTGTGCTAGTGTGTGTGGTTGTGTGTGCTAGTGTGTGGTTGTGTGTGCTAGTGTGTGTGGTTGTGTGTGCTAGTGTGTGTGGCTGTGTGTATTAGTGTGTGGTTGTGTGTATTAGTGTGTGGTTGTGTGTGCTAGTGTGTGTGGTTGTGTGTGCTAGTGTGTGTGGTTGTGTGTGCTAGTGTGTGTGGTTGTGTGTGCTAGTGTGTGGTTGTGTGTGCTAGTGTGTGGTTGTGTGTACTAGTGTGTGGTTGTGTGTATTAGTGTGTGGTTGTGTGTGCTAGTGTGTGTGGTTGTGTGTGCTAGTGTGTGGTTGTGTGTGTGGTTGTGTGTGCTAGTGTGTGTGGTTGTGTGTGCTAGTGTGTGGTTGTGTGTGCTAGTGTGTGTGGTTGTGTGTGCTAGTGTGTGTGGTGGTGTGTATTAGTGTGTGTGGTTGTGTGTGGTTGTGTGTATTAGTGTGTGTGGTTGTGTGTATTAGTGTGTGTGGTTGTGTGTATTAGTGTGTGTGGTTGTGTGTGCTAGTGTGTGTGGTTGTGTGTGCTAGTGTGTGGTTGTGTGTGCTAGTGTGTGTGGTTGTGTGGGCTAGTGTGTGTGGTTGTGTGTGCTAGTGTGTGTGGTTGTGTGTGCCAGTGTGTGTGGCTGTGTACCATTAATTTGTCTGTTGGTGTCCCCCAGGATCCAGATGTTGTCGCTGCGCCACTGCGGCATCACAGACACCGGTGCTTGTGGCATCGGCCGGGTGCTGGGGAACATGAAAGCACCCAACACCAAATTAATTTCACTCAACTTGTCTGGGAACCTGATAGGAGATGTCGGGGCAGAGAGCTTGGCATGGGTAAGACAGACAGACTGAGAGACAGACAAACTTGGCATGGGTAAGACAGACAGACTGAGAGACAGACAAACTTGGCATGGGTAAGACAGACAGACTGAGAGACAGACAAACTTGGCATGGGTAAGACAGACAGACTGAGAGACAGACAAACTTGGCATGGGTAAGACAGACAGACTGAGAGACAGACAAACTTGGCATGGGTAAGACAGACAGACTGAGAGACAGACAAACTTGGCATGGGTAAGACAGACAGACTGAGAGACAGACAAACTTGGCATGGGTAAGACAGACAGACTGAGAGACAGACAAACTTGGCATGGGTAAGACAGACAGACTGAGAGACAGACAAACTTGGCATGGGTAAGACAGACAGACTGAGAGACAGACAAACTTGGCATGGGTAAGACAGACTGAGAGACAGACAAACTTGGCTTGGGTAAGACAGACTGAGAGACAGACAAACTTGGCATGGGTGAGACAGACAGACTGAGAGACAAACTGGCACACTTTACACTTTTGTCTGTGTGTGGAGTTCTTTTCCCTTGACGAGCTGATCTCAATGTGTCCCAAATGTCACCTAAATAAAACAATGTGTCCCAAATGTCACCTAAATAAAACGTGTTCCAAATGTCACCTAAATAAAACTGTTCCAAATGTCACCTAAATAAAACTATGTGTTCCAAATGTCACCTAAATAAAACAGTGTCCCAAATGTCACCTAAATAAAACAATGTGTTCCAAATGTCACCTAAATAAAACAATGTGTTCCAAATGTCACCTAAATAAAACAATGTTCCAAATGTCACCTAAATAAAACAGTGTTCCAAATGTCACCTAAATAAAACAATGTGTCCCAAATGTCACCTAAATAAAACAATGTGTTCCAAATGTCTCCTAAATAAAACAATGTGTTCCAAATGTCACCTAAATAAAACAATGTGTTCCAAATGTCACCTAAATAAAACAATGTGTTCCAAATGTCACCTAAATAAAACAGTGTTCCAAATGTCACCTAAATAAAACGTGTTCCAAATGTCACCTAAATAAAACAATGTTCCAAATGTCACCTAAATAAAACAATGTTCCAAATGTCACCTAAATAAAACAATGTGTCCCAAATGTCACCTAAATAAAAAAATGTGTTCCAAATGTCACCTAAATAAAACAGTGTTCCAAATGTCACCTAAATAAAACAATGTGTTCCAAATGTCACCTAAATAAAACAATGTGTTCCAAATGTCACCTAAATAAAACAATGTGTCCCAAATGTCACCTAAATAAAACAATGTGTCCCAAATGTCACCTAAATAAAACAATGTGTTCCAAATGTCACCTAAATAAAACAATGTGTTCCAAATGTCACCTAAATAAAACAATGTGTTCCAAATGTCACCTAAATAAAACAATGTGTTCCAAATGTCACCTAAATAAAACAATGTGTCCCAAATGTCACCTAAATAAAACAATGTGTCCCAAATGTCACCTAAATAAAACAATGTGTTCCAAATGTCTCCTAAATAAAACAATGTGTTCCAAATGTCTCCTAAATAAAACAATGTGTTCCAAATGTCACCAACAGGGTCTTCGAATGAACCGCACATTAATGGCCTTGACCTTGCTAGGGAATAACATTGGTAACAAAGGTGCCATGAAAATTTCAGAGGTGAGTGGGGGGTGGGGGTGGGGGGAGCTGCCCTGGGTGCAACACCTAGGAGGCAGTGAGTCATTGATTGTGTAGAGAGTTGAGTGTCTTCCTGCCATTTGTCATATATATATATAGATATATATAGAGAGAGATAGAGATATATAGATAGATATATATACATCTAAATAGTAATTGGAGGCACAATTTATTAGTTATGGTTGCTGAAAGTGGTTGCCATGTTTCTGAGTGAGTTGTTGAGAAAAAACTAGCAATGAAATCAACACTGACATTTTCATCCACTCAAGGCCTTGTCGCGGTTCCCTTTGAGCCACGAAGAGACAGTAGAGAGACGCAAGCTGCTGTCTGACCACAGTTCTCCAGAGAGGAAGTCTGTAAGTTTCTCTTCACCCTACCAGGTGTTAGATTGACCTGACTTGTCTACCAGGTGTTAGATTGACCTGACTTGTCTACCAGGTGTTAGATTGACCTGACTTGTCTACCAGGTGTTAGATTGACCTGACTTGTCTACCAGGTGTTAGATTGACCTGACTTGTCTACCAGGTGTTAGATTGACCTGACTTGTCTACCAGGTGTTAGATTGACCTGACTTGTCTACCAGGTGTTAGATTGACCTGACTTGTCTACCAGGTGTTAGATTGACCTGACTTGTCAATTGACCTGACTTGTCTACCAGCTGTTAGATTGACCTGACTTGTCAATTGACCTGACTTGTCTACCAGGTGTTAGATTGACCTGACTTGTCAATTGACCTGACTTGTCTACCAGGTGTTAGATTGACTTGTCAACCAGGTGTTAGATTGACCTGACTTGTCTACCAGGTGTTAGATTGACCTGACTTGTCTACCAGGTGTTAGATTGACCTGACTTGTCTACCAGGTGTTAGATTGACCTGACTTGTCTACCAGGTGCTAGATTGACCTGACTTGTCTACCAGGTGTTAGATTGACCTGACTTGTCTACCAGGTGTTAGATTGACCTGACTTGTCTACCAGGTTTTAGACCACACTTTGGTAGCCAACATTGTGGGCTGACCACAATCAAAACATTTTTTTCTGCCTGATCTAAATGGGAGGTGCAATCTCTGCCTGAACTAAATGGTGTTAGATTGACCTGACTGATCTAATGGACCGATCTAACAAACTTTTTATTTTTGTAATTAGACAACGCCAGAGTTGTTGGAATTTCTTCCAGACATTGAGGAGGTAACATAAGGTTCTGCTTTGAATTTTTCATCACGTTTGGAAACTTGACGATATCAGTTATCACTTGACTGTTTTTGTTTTTAGCCATTGTTTTCACTTTTGATGGCCAAATATTTTAATGTTAATATTTTTATGAGTGGTTTCTAAGTCACACAGCACTGGTTAGTAAAAACCTTTAACCCACTGACCGGCCCATTAGTGGACCGGCCCATTAGTGGACCGGCCCATTAGTGGACCGGCCCATTAGTGGACCGGCCCATTAGTGGACCGGCCCATTAGTGGACCGGCCCATTAGTGGACCGGCCCATTAGTGGACCGGCCCATTAGTGGACCGGCCCACTAGCCTATAGCTTGGAAACCACTAGACTACCTGGTACATCCCAAATTTTCCTGAGTTGGTGCTGTGATTTCAGCCAGCACTGAGCAGGAGGGCGGAGTCCAAGGATAGGCCGGGCAGCGTGCGCAGCATGACCACCACGGACAAAACTAAACTCAAACAATCTGCCAAAAAAAAAGTGAGAACCCCAAGCTTGCTCACATAGTGGACATTTAGGTGTTAGGGGGCGTTAACAGTGGGAATGTTGGATTGAAAACATCTAGTTCAAATAGATTGCATTTGGTTCATAAAATGTTCAACTGATTGAGTGGGTGTATCATAGTGTATGGTTAAAGGAGTGTTGCTTGAAGGAGTGAGCTTTGGTTAATAAAAAGGACATTTCGGCTACAAATTGCCATTTACAATCAATCTATGTCAATCTGTTATGAAGGAAAAAACAAAAATTGCAATGAGTGTACCATGTAGTCATTTTTTTGTTATTCATAGTGTTGTGTTGGAAAGGGTTTTAATATTTTTATTTGAAATGTTAAAAAAATGGTAGGAATTATTGCCAGAAGGTAAGTCTCTTCAATTTCATTTCAAATTCTGGACATCTGTTGTGATCACATCAGCCATCTGGTCAATTCTTCATTTTAGAGTTACCTCCCATAGGTTTTTGATCATATAATGCTGAAACAATTATTAGACTATTCCATTGGCCTTGAAAGAGTTAAGATCATTAATAGCTCATTTTTTTTTTAAATCTGTTTAATTCAAAATAATTAATTTTGAAATTCTTGTTTGATGAATTATTGCTTCATGAGTTAACAAAAATCGGTCAATTTGTCATTCAATCTTGGAAAAATATTCCACATTTATTTTGTCCAAATTTTCATCTTTTTAAAATGAAGTTAACATTTAATTTTAATCAAAGATTCAACTAACTTTAAAATAAAAAAAAATTATTTCTCTTTTGAACTAGATGAAACATAGTAACACTACAGTAGCAATAAGATTTATTTCAATCAAATAATTTTCTTTTTATTTCAATCAAATAATTTTCTTTTTATTTCAATAAAATAATTTTCTTTTTATTTCAATAAAATAATTTTCTTTTTATTTGAACCAAACAAAGGAGGTCAAAGGTAAAGACACAAAAGATGAGACAAAGACAGTCAAAAAGGAAGAGCCAAGAGAGAGTAGAGGATCCAAAACTAAAGGTTTGAAATAATTCTTAAAACATCTTAGCTAGAGTCTAGGATCCAAAACTAAAGGCGGGGGGGGGGGGGGGGGGGGGGGGGGTTGTGTTATATATAAGTGTTACATCAAACCAAAATAATTTTGATACTTATTGCTTTATAAAATATATTGAATATACTGTCAACCCAGTTTATTATTTGACCAATGTCATGAGAATTGAGCAAGTGAATGTTGACCTCCCTAAACTAACCCACATTCCTGGCTGATGAATGTTTTAGGTCTTTGAATATCTTAGTCAATTACTTGAGAAATCTAACTAGGTCTGTCAAAATCTTTCAGCTTTATGGGGTAAGCTGTTTTTTATATAGATCAACCAGCTTAATCCATCAGAACAACCGGCTTAACGGTTAGATCAACCGGCTTAATGGTTAGATCAACCGGCTTACTGGTTAGATCAACCGGCTTAATCCATCAGAACAACCAGCTTAATGGTTAGATCAACCGGCTTAATGGTTAGATCAACCAGATTACTGGTTAGATCAACCAGATTACTGGTTAGATCAACCGGCTTACTGGTTAGATCAACCGGCTTAATCCATCAGAACAACCAGCTTAACGGTTAGATCAACCGGCTTAATGGTTAGATCAACCAGATTACTGGTTAGATCAACCAGATTACTGGTTAGATCAACCAGATTACTGGTTAGATCAACCAGATTACTGGTTAGATCAACCGGCTTACTGGTTAGATCAACCGGCTTACTGGTTAGATCAACCAGATTACTGGTTAGATCAACCGGCTTACTGGTTAGATCAACCGGCTTACTGGTTAGATCAACCGGCTTACTGGTTAGATCAACCGGCTTACTGGTTAGATCAACCGGCTTAACAGCTCAAGTTGCTAATGCTTGTTTGGTCTGGGTCTGTGTTTGATGAAAGCTTTTTGCTGTCCTGTACAAAACTTGATCCAAATTTTATTTTTGCTGTCCTGTACAAAACTTGATCCAGATTTTATTTTTGCTGTCCTGTACAAAACTTGATCCAGATTTTATTTTTGATGTCCTGTACAAAACTTGATCCAGATTTTATTTTTGCTGTCCTGTACAAAACTTGATCCAGATTTTATTTTTGCTGTCCTGTACAAAACTTGATCCAGATTTTATTTTTGGCTTAGAAAGCTTTAACAGCATGAACATGTTTCATTCACTCAATTATCATCACAAATCTGCACCATCTGTTTAACATATAGATGTAAGTATCTCTAGAAGAAATTTCTAGAAAAATTCAATTGGTCAAGTTGATCTGTCACAAAAGTTAATTGGTGTAATAGTCAATCCCAACTACTGTATTTACAATCCAAACTTCTGTATTTAGATCAGTCCAATTTTTATCAGAGAAGTTTTTCTTAAATTTAATTACCTTTAAAAACCTAAATTTGGTCTTATATTTCTTTTAATTATAACGAGCCGACCCGCGGTGTATCATACGCCGCTATTTAGTTGTTTTTTTTTTCTACTTTTCAGTAATTCATAATTTGTGAATTCGACAGTACCAATGCTGCCACTGAAAATATTTGCTTTACAACACTAACCCCCCCCCCCCCCCCCCCCCGTGAAAGCAGCCTCCTCTTAGTTACCTCTAAGTTTAAAATCGTTTCAAACTAAATTATCTGCCCCTAATAGCCGTCACCAAACCCGGATTTGTAAAATGTAAACAGCGTGAACCACAGCTCACCAGGCCATGTGAGGGGGGTGGGGGGGTGGTAGCGACAGAGAGGAAGAGAGGAGAGGGGATTGCAAGGCGCGTTTGCAGCTTGTTTTCTAACGGCTCCCAGAAGAGAATTATATATACGAGCCGACCCGCTGCGTATCATACGCCGCTATTTAGTTGTTTTTTTTTCTACTTTTCAGTAATTTATAATTTGTGAATTCAACAGTACCAATGCTGCCATTAAAACTATTTGCTTAAAAACACTACCCCCCCCCCCCCCCCACGTGAAAGCAGCCTCCTCTTAGTTACCTCCTCTAAGTTTAAAATCGTTTCAAACTAAATTATCTGCCCCTAATAGCCGTCACCAAACCCATCTCTATGATTGTAAAATGTAAACAGAGTGAACACCGCTCACCAGATCATGTGGGGGTGGGGTGGGGGTGGTAGTGATAGTGATAGAGAGGAAGAGAGGGGACTGCTAAGGCACGCTTGCAGCTTGTTTTCTAACTGATCCCAGAAGAGAATTATATATATAGATTATACATAACTATATATATATATATATATATATATATATATAAATATATATATATATATATATATATATAATAAATCAAGCACCAAATTCTAAAGGGAAATAACCTGCTTCCTGCGTACATCAACTCTACAGTACATCACCAGACTCTCGTTTTTTTATTTGGTTTCCTTTGTGATCACATGACCTTTTATTGGCACAATAACTCTAATTATCATAACAAATTAGCATTCAGAGTATTTAAGATTTTAAATATTATTTAAACAAATATTTATATATTTTTTAAACTAATATTATGGCATTCAGTGAAGTAATAGTTTATATATGATGTTTTTAGTTTCAAATAGTCGTAAAAAGTTAAAAGTTGTGTAGGTTGTAGGTTGTTCTATATTAACAGATGTATGTCTCTGTATGTCATGTTGTGCCATATATACTGTGTACGTCCATCATGCCTCATACATAACATGTATGCCCATGGTGTTCAATGTATAATATGTGTATGTGTAGTTAAAAAATTTTCAGTGTAGACCATATTGACTTATGCCACCTCACTAACCCCCCCCCCCCCTCAGGTTCTTTAAAAGCAGCTCTCCAACTGATGGCCTCTGGTAACTCTACATGTCTAGTGGTACTAGGGTTAGGGTTAGTCTCTGGTTGCATGATTGATGTACTAATCTCTAGGGTTAGGGTTAGTCTCTGGTTGCGTGATTGATGTACTAATCTCTAGGGTTAGGGTTAGTCTCTGGTTGCATGATTGATGTACTAATCTCTAGGGTTAGGGTTAGTCTCTGGTTGCATGATTGATGTACTAATCTCTAGGGTTAGGGTTAGTCTCTGGTTGCATGATTGATGTACTAATCTCTAGGGTTAGGGTTAGTCTCTGGTTGCATGATTGATGTACTAATCTCTAGGGTTAGTCTCTGGTTGCATGATTGATGTACTAATCTCTAGGGTTAGGGTTAGTCTCTGGTTGCATGATTGATGTACTAATCTCTAGGGTTAGGGTTAGTCTCTGGTTGCATGATTGATGTACTAATCTCTAGGGTTAGGGTTAGTCTCTGGTTGCATGATTGATGTACTAATCTCTAGGGTTAGGGTTAGTCTCTGGTTGCATGATTGATGTACTAATCTCTAGGGTTAGGGTTAGTCTCTGGTTGCATGATTGATGTACTAATCTCTAGGGTTAGGGTTAGTCTCTGGTTGCATGATTGATGTACTAATCTCTAGGGTTAGTCTCTGGTTGCATGATTGATGTACTAATCTCTAGGGTTAGTCTCTGGTTGCATGATTGATGCACGCCAGTCTGTGTTAGATTTCTTTAGAGAACTGAAACATTGACATCCATACATACAGCAGGTTGATGAGCCCACTAAATGGCTCACAAGTTGACCAATGGCTCACAATACTTTATTTTAAACACATAGAAAGCCAATTGAATGAACACTAACAGGAAGAATTTTTTTTTTCGTTGCATCTTTTGAAGTCAAATAGTTGAAAACAATTGATAGTGTGAGTTAAAAACAATTGATATTGTGAGTTGAAAACAATTGATAGTGTGAGTTGAAAACAATTGATAGTGTGAGTTGAAAACAATTGATAGTGTGAGTTGAAAACAATTGATAGTGTGAGTTGAAAACAATTGATATTGTGAGTTGAAAACAATTGATAGTGTGAGTTGAAAACAATTGATAGTGTGAGTTGAAAACAATTGATAGTGTGAGTTGAAAACAATTGATAGTGTGAGTTGAAAACAATTGATAGTGTGAGTTGAAAACAATTGATAGTGTGAGTTGAAAACAATTGATAGTGTGAGTTGAAAACAATTGATAGTGTGAGTTGAAAACAATTGATAGTGTGAGTTGAAAACAATTGATAGTGTGAGTTGAAAACAATTGATATTGTGAGTTGAAAACAATTGATAGTGTGAGTTGAAAACAATTGATATTGTGAGTTGAAAACAATTGATAGTGTGAGTTGAAAACAATTGATAGTGTGAGTTGAAAACAATTGATATTGTGAGTTGAAAACAATTGATATTGTGAGTTGAAAACAATTGATAGTGTGAGTTGAAAACAATTGATATTGTGAGTTGAAAACAATTGATAGTGTGAGTTGAAAACAATTGATAGTGTGAGTTGAAAACAATTGATAGTGTGAGTTGAAAACAATTGATAGTGTGAGTTGAAAACAATTGATAGTGTGAGTTGAAAACAATTGATATTGTGAATCCCTGCATGGCTCTCCCCTGTGTTAGAGTAAGATCTCCTAGCCACATACAACCCTGGCCACACACATACACATACAACCCTGGCCACACACATACACATACAACCCTAGCCACACACATACACATACAACCCTAGCCACACACATACACATACAACCCTGGCCACACACATACACATACAACCCTAGCCACACACATACACATACAACCCTGGCCACACACATACACATACAACCCTGGCCACACACATACACATACAACCCTAGCCACACACATACACATACAACCCTGGCCACACACATACACATACAACCCTGGCCACACACATACAACCCTGGCCACACACATACACATACAACCCTGGCCACACACATACACATACAACCCTAGCCACACACATACACATACAACCCTAGCCACACACATACACATACAACCCTAGCCACACACATACACATGCAACCCTGGCCACACACATACACATATAACCCTGGCCACACACATACATACAACCCTGGCCACACACACACACATACAACCCTGGCCACACACATACATACAACCCTGGCCACACACACACATACAACCCTGGCCACACACACACATACAACCCTGGCCACACACATACAACCCTGGCCATACACACACACACATACAACCCTGGCCACACACATACAACCCTGGCCACACACATACAACCCTGGCCACACACATACAACCCTGGCCACACACACACACATACAACCCTGGCCACACACATACAACCCTGGCCACACACATACACATACAACCCTGGCCACACACACTCATACAACCCTGGCCACACACACACATACAACCCTGGCCACACACACACATACAACCCTGGCCACACACATACACATACAACCCTGGCCACACACATACACATACAACCCTGGCCACACACACACACATACAACCCTGGCCACACACACACACATACAACCCTGGCCACACACACACATACAACCCTGGCCACACACACATACAACCCTGGCCACACACACACATACAACCCTGGCCGCACACACACATACAACCCTGGCCACACACACACATACAACCCTGGCCACACACACACATACAACCCTGGCCACACACACACATACAACCCTGGCCACACACACACAACCCTGGCCACACACATACAACCCTGGCCACACACACACACACATACAACCCTGGCCACACACATACACATACAACCCTGGCCACACACACACATGCAACCCTGGCCACACACATACACATGCAACCCTGGCCACACACACACATACAACCCTGGCCACACACATACACATACAACCCTGGCCACACACATACAACCCTGGCCACACACATACAACCCTGGCCACACACATACACATACAACCCTGGCCACACACACACACATAGAACCCTGGCCACACACATACACATACAACCCTGGCCACACACATACACATACAACCCTGGCCACACACATACATACAACCCTGGCCACACACATACACATACAACCCTGGCCACACACACACACACATACAATCCTGGCCACACACACACACACATACAATCCTGGCCACACACACACACATACAAAACTGGCCACACACACACACATACAACGCTGGCCACACACACACACATACAACCCTGGCCACACACACATACACATACAACCCTGGCCACACACACACACATACAACCCTGGCCACACACACACATACAACCCTGGCCACACACACACACATAAAACCCTGGCCACACACACACATACAACCCTGGCCACACACACACATACAACCCTGGCCACACACATACAACCCTGGCCACACACATACAACCCTGGCCACACACACACATACAACCCTGGCCACACACACACACATACAACCCTGGCCACACACACATACATACAACCCTGGCCACACACACACACACATACAACCCTGGCCACACACACACACACATACAAAACTGGCCACACACACACACACATACAAAACTGGCCACACACACACACATACAAAACTAGCCACACACACACACATACAACCCTGGCCACACACACACACACATACAACCCTGGCCACACACATACACATACAACCCTGGCCACACACACACATACAACCCTGGCCACACACATACATACAACCCTGGCCACACACACACACATACAACCCTGGCCACACACATACATACAACCCTGGCCACACACACACACATACAACCCTGGCCACACACACACACATACAACCCTGGCCACACACACACATACAACCCTGGCCACACACACACATACAACCCTGGCCACACACACACACATACAACCCTGGCCACACACACTCAACCCTGGCCACACACATAGAACCCTGGCCACACACATACACATACAACCCTGGCCACACACACACATACAACCCTGGCCACACACACACACATAAAACCCTGGCCACACACATACAACCCTGGCCACACACATACACATACAACCCTGGCCACACACATACACATACAACCCTGGCCACACACACACACACAACCCTGGCCACACACACACATACAACCCTGGCCACACACACACACATACAATCCTGGCCACACACACACATACAACCCTGGCCACACACATACATACAACCCTGGCCACACACATACACATATAACCCTGGCCACACACATACACATATAACCCTGGCCACACACATACACATATAACCCTGGCCACACACATACACATACAACCCTGGCCACACACACTCATACAACCCTGGCCACACACACACATACAACCCTGGCCACACACACACATACAACCCTGGCCACACACACACATACAACCCTGGCCACACACACACATACAAAACTGGCCACACACATACAACCCTGGCCACACACATACAACCCTGGCCATAGACACACACATACAACCCTGGCCACACACATACACATACAACCCTGGCCACACACATACACATACAACCCTGGCCACACACATACACATACAACCCTGACCACACACATACACATACAACCCTGGCCACACACATACACATACAACCCTGGCCACACACATACACATACAACCCTGGCCACACACATACACATACAACCCTGGCCACACACACACACATACAACCCTGGCCACACACACACACATACAACCCTGGCCACACACACACACATACAACCCTGGCCACACTCATACACACATACAACCCTGGCCACACTCATACACACATACAAAACTGGCCACACTCATACACACATACAAAACTGGCCACACAAACACACACATACAAAACTGGCCACACAAACACACACATACAACCCTGGCCACACACACACACATACAACCCTGGCCACACACACACACATACAAAACTGGCCACACACATTCAACCCTGGCCACACACACATACAACCCTGGCCACACACACACACATACAAAACTGGCCACACACATACAAAACTGGCCACACACATACAAAACTGGCCACACACACACACACACATACAAAACTGGCCACACACACACACATACAAAACTGGCCACACACACACACATACAAAACTGGCCACACACACACACACATACAAAACTGGCCACACACACACATACAAAACTGGCCACACACACACACATACAAAACTGGCCACACACACACACATACAAAACTGGCCACACACATACACATACAACCCTGGCCACACACACATACACATACAACCCTGGCCACACACACATACAACCCTGGCCACACACATACACACATACAAAACTGGCCACACACACACACATACAAAACTGGCCACACACATACACATACAACCCTGGCCACACACACACATACAACCCTGGCCACACACATACACACATACAAAACTGGCCACACACACACACATACAAAACTGGCCACTCACACACACATACAAAACTGGCCACACAAACACACACATACAAAACTGGCCACACACACACACATACAACCCTGGCCACACACACACACATACAACCCTGGCCACACACATACAACCCTGGCCACACACACACACACATACAAAACTGGCCACACACACACACATACAACCCTGGCCACACACACACACATACAACCCTGGCCACACACACACACATACAAAACTGGCCACACACACACATACAAAACTGGCCACACACACACACATACAAAACTGGCCACACACACACACACACTATACAAAACTGGCCACACACACACACACACTATACAACCCTGGCCACACACATACACATACAACCCTGGCCACACACACACATACAACCCTGGCCACACACACACATACAACTCTGGCCACACACACTCATACAACCCTGGCCACACACATACACATACAACCCTGGCCACACACAACCCTGGCCACACACACACATACAACCCTGGCCACACACACACATACAACCCTGGCCACACACACACATACAACCCTGGCCACACACACACATACAACCCTGGCCACACACACACATACAACCCTGGCCACACACATACAACCCTGGCCACACACATACAACCCTGGCCACACACACTCAACCCTGGCCACACACATACACATACAACCCTGGCCACACACATACACATACAACCCTGGCCACACACACACACATACAAAACTGGCCACACACACACACACATACAACCCTGGCCACACACACACACACATACAACCCTGGCCACACACACACACATACAAAACTGGCCACACACACACACATACAAAACTGGCCACACACACACATACAACCCTGGCCACACACACACACATACAACCCTGGCCACACACACACACATACAACCCTGGCCACACACACACACATACAAAACTGGCCACTCACACACACAAAACTGGCCACACACACACACATACAAAACTGGCCACACACACACACATACAAAACTGGCCACACACACACACATACAACCCTGGCCACACACACACACATACAACCCTGGCCACACACACACACATACAAAACTGGCCACACACATACAACCCTGGCCACACACACACATACAAAACTGGCCACACACACACACATACAACCCTGGCCACACACATACAACCCTGGCCACACACATACAACCCTGGCCACACACATACAACCCTGGCCACACACACACACATACAAAACTGGCCACACACACACACACATACAACCCTGGCCACACACACACACATACAACCCTGGCCACACATACAACCCTGGCCACACACACACACATACAACCCTGGCCACACACACACACACATAAAAAACTGGCCACACACACACACACATACAAAACTGGCCACACACACACACATACAAAACTGGCCACACACACACACATACAACCCTGGCCACACACACACACATACAACCCTGGCCACACACACACACATACAACCCTGGCCACACACACACACATACAAAACTGGCCACACACACACATACAAAACTGGCCACACACACACATACAAAACTGGCCACACACACACACATACAACCCTGGCCACACACATACAACCCTGGCCACACACACACACATACAAAACTGGCCACACACACACACACATAACCCTGGCCACACATACAACCCTGGCCACACACACACACATACAACCCTGGCCACACACACACACATACAACCCTGGCCACACACACACACACATACAAAACTGGCCACACACACACACATACAAAACTGGCCACACACACACACATACAACCCTGGCCACACACACACACATACAACCCTGGCCACACACATACACATACAACCCTGGCCACACACACACACATACAAAACTGGCCACACACATACACATACAACCCTGGCCACAATCTGTGCTTTCTAAATAAAGTTTTGTTTTTAATGTGTAAGTTTTGACAGCAAATAATTTTATGTAGAACACATCTCATTGTACTGACTTTGTATATTGAAATAGGTGAAAGTAAATTGAATAGCTGCCTGTAGCACTAATTGATCATCAATTGTTTGAAAATCAACTGTAACAAAAACTATGTTCCCTCTAGCCAGCGTTGCGGAGTCAGCCAAGTCACAGAACAAAGCAAAAGAGAAAAAAAAAGAGAAAACCAAAAGTTCCGTCAACGAGTCTGACGTAAGTTCAGAAATGCTTTGTGGCGTCAGTTTTTTGTTCAAATCTTAAAAAAACTTTTTATTTAAATATGGCCAACTCCAAGTAACAATAGGCTGTGGCCAAATGTTTGACAGATGTCCAGGCATCTCTTCGGGGGGGGGGGGGCTTCGCAGTAAGATGTAATGAAAAATTATGTGTACTAGATAGCAGTAAGATCTAATGATAAATAATGTGTACTAGATCTAGATAGTAAGATGTAATGATAAATAATGTGTACTAGATAGCAGTAAGATCTAATGATAAATAATGTGTACTAGATCTAGATAGTAAGATGTAATGATAAATAATGTGTACTAGATAGCAGTAAGATCTAATGATAAATAATGTGTACTAGATAGCAGTAAGATCTAATGATAAATAGTGTGTACTAGATAGCAGTAAGATGTAATGATAAATAATGTGTACTAGATAGCAGTAAGATCTAATGATAAATAATGTGTACTAGTACTAGAAAACATTTTTCTATCTCAGGACTCCGACGCACTGGTGAGACTTGAGATTCTGTTTTTTGTTTTTTTGTTGAGACAATTTTTTGTTGTCTACACTCAAAATTTTATTTCAATCAATTAAACAGTTTAAGTTTTGTTATAGTTAAATCCAAAAGTCTTTCAAGGAGATTTTTTTAAATAGAAAGTAATGACAGACATTAGAGGGTTCATGACAGACATTAGAGGGTTCATGACAGCATTAGAGGGTTCATGACAGACATTGGAGGGTTCATGACAGACATTAGAGGGTTCATGCACACATGTGATCTCAACAAAGTCAACATTTCAATGACTGAATAACCTACTCAATGGGACCATTATTGGACAGTCGTTGACAGCAACTTGCTGCTGACTTGATGACATGGCAACTGGTGAACTTGACTTGACGACATTGTATAGAACCGTACAATAGCTAGACAATACCTAGACACCCCCCCCCCCCCCATACAATAACTAGACACACCCTTCCGCGCCCCCCCCCCCCCCATCCAATAACTAGACACTACCTAGAGTGACTCTACCCCCCCCCATCCAATAACTAGACACTACCTAGAGTGACTCTACCCCCCCCCCCATGTTTTAATGTATCCATCCCAATCTTCCTTTTCATATGCATATGGTTCTAATGTACACCTTGTACACTATCATATGGTTCTAATGTACACCTTGTACACTATCATATGGTTCTAATGTACACCTTGTACACTATCATATGGTTCTAATGTACACCTTGTACACTATCATATGGTTCTAATGTACACCTTGTACACTATCATATGGTTCTAATGTACACCTTGTACACTATCATATGGTTCTAATGTACACCTTGTACACTATCATATGGTTCTAATGTACACCTTGTACACTATCATATGGTTCTAATGTACACCTTGTACACTATCATATGGTTCTAATGTACGCCTTGTACACTATCATATGGTTCTAATGTACACCTTGTACACTATCATATGGTTCTAATGTACACCTTGTACACTATCATATGGTTACAATGTACACCTTGTACACTATCATATGGTTACAATGTACACCTTGTACACTATCATATGGTTCTAATCTACACCTTTTACACTATCATATGGTTCTAATGTACACCTTGTACACTATCATATGGTTCCAATGTAACATCTTCATCTGACATTATTGCACTGACAAGCCACAAAATGTACTGGCACTGACAAGTGACAAAATGGCACTGACAAGCGACAAAATGGCAATGACAAGCGACAAAATGGCACTGACAAGCGACAAAATGGCACTGACAAGCGACAAAATGGCACTGACAAGCGACAAAATGGCACTGACAAGCGACAAAATGGCACTGACAAGCGACAAAATGGCACTGACAAGCGACAAAATGGCACTGACAAGCGACAAAATGGCACTGACATGCGACAAAATGGCACTGACATGCGACAAAATGGCACTGACAAGCGACAAAATGGCACTGACAAGCGACAAAATGGCACTGACAAGCGACAAAATGGCACTGACAAGCGACAAAATGGCACTGACAAGCGACAAAATGGCACTGACAAGCGACAAAATGGCACTGACAAGCGACAAAATGGCACTGACAAGCGACAAAATGGCACTGACAAGCGACAAAATGGCACTGACAAGCGACAAAATGGCACTGACAAGCGACAAAATGGCACTGACAAGCGACAAAATGGCACTGACAAGCGACAAAATGGCACTGACAAGCGACAAAATGGCACTGACAAGCGACAAAATGGCACTGACAAGCGACAAAATGGCACTGACAAGCGACAAAATGGCACTGACAAGCGACAAAATGGCACTGACAAGCGACAAAATGGCACTGACAAGCGACAAAATGGCACTGACAAGCGACAAAATGGCACTGACAAGCGACAAAATGGCACTGACAAGCGACAAAATGGCACTGACAAGCGACAAAATGTACTGGCACTGACAAGCGACAAAATGTACTGGCACTGACAAGCGACAAAATGAGCCCAGCACTGATTGATGTTCCAGAGTCAGGAGCTGAGTGACCAGATGAACCCATTGTTAGAGACCACGGACCTGCTGGATGGCAACTTGTGGATAGCTGGCAACAGGACACTCATTCTCCTCAATTTATCACGTAGGTCCCTACTTATGCTGTATGCTGTCACGTAGGTCCCTACTTATGCTGTATGCTGTCACGTAGGTCCCAACTTATGCTGTATGCTGTCGCCTAGGTCCCTACTTATGCTGTATGCTGTCGCGTAGGTCCCTACTTATGCTGTATGCTGTCGCGTAGGTCCCTACATATGCTGTCATGTAGATCCCTACATATGCTGTATGCTGTCACATAGGTCCCGACATAGCTGTATGCTGTCACGTAGGTCCCTACATATGTTGTATGCTGTCACGTAGGTCCCTACGTATGTTGTATGCTGTCACATAGGTCCCTACATCTTGTATGCTGTCACATAGGTCCCCACATATGCTGTATGCTGTCACGTAGGTCCCTACTTATGCTGTATGCTGTCACATAGGTCCCTACTTATGCTGTATGCTGTCGCGTAGGTCCCAACTTATGCTGTATGCTGTCGCCTAGGTCCCTACTTATGCTGTATGCTGTCACGTAGGTCCCTACATATGCTGTCATGTAGATCCCTAAATATGCTGTATGCTGTCACATAGGTCCCGACATAGCTGTATGCTGTCACGTAGGTCCCTACATATGTTGTATGCTGTCACGTAGGTCCCTACATATGTTGTATGCTGTCACATAGGTCCCCACATATGCTGTAAGCTGTCACGTAGGTCCCTACATATGCTGTCACGTAGGTCCCTACATATGCTGAATGCTGTCACGTAGGTCCCGACATATGTTGTATGCTGTCACGTAGGTCCCAATATATGTTGTATGCTGTCACGTAGGTCCCGACATATGCTGTATGCTGTCACGTAGGTCCCTACATATGCTGTATGCTGTCATGTAGGTCCCTACATATGCTGTATGCTGTCACGTAGGTCCCTACATATGCTGTCATGTAGGTCCCTACATATCGATGGTCTCGGTCGCAAACCGTCTAACTCAAAAAAATTCGATTTTCTTTTTTTTACATAAATCAAAAGCCAATATTATTCCCCATAATGCCTGAAAATATTAGAGAAATCTGTTGAATGATTATTGAGATATAATCATTTGAACAAACCGCCTATTATTTCTAGCGCTAAAAATCTCGGCGCAAAACGAATATCGCTATATTTGTCAGTACACTTTTGATCGGGAATGCAGTCGTACGCTGCAATCACACAATTTTACAGCACAGCAGTCACAGTACTTATAGGTAAGGATATTGGATTAATTATGTTCAACTATTCTATTACATTTTATCATTTTAAAGAATAATAAACAAATAGTATTTGTTTAATATAGCCTATTTCCAGATTTTCAATAACCAAACTGATTTGTTTACAATTTTTTAGGCTAACACAATGCTTTGAAACTAGATCTTCATTCTAGAATTTAAATATCAATCAAAACAATATTATTCGAATTATATTTCCACAAGAATGTGCAATAAATTTCATTATTGTTAATTCACTACTAGCTTTAGATTGAGGGTTTAGATACGTGTTAAGAAATGTTTATATGGTAGGTTACAAAATGTTTGGCGTACATGTTTAACGATATGGTTAGTTGTCTTTAGTAAATGCTTTTATGATTAATTTTTCAATAGACAAGCCTATCTCAACACACCAGCCTCTCACAACAGACCAGTCTTACCACATAACAGACCAGCCTCTCTCAACAGATCAGCCTCTCTCAACAGACCAGCCTCTCAACAGACCAGCCTCTCTCAACAGACCAGCCTCTCTCAACAGACCAGCCTCTCTCAACAGACCAGCCTCTCTCAACAGATCAGCCTCTCTCAACAGACCAGCCTCTCAACAGACCAGCCTCTCTCAACAGACCAGCCTCTCTCAACAGACCAGCCTCTCTCAACAGACCAGCCTCTCTCAACAGATCAGCCTCTCTCAACAGACCAGCCTCTCTCAACAGACCAGCCTATCAACAGACCAGCCTCTCTCAACAGACCAGCCTCTCTCAACAGACCAGCCTCTCTCGACATACCAGCCTCTCTCAACAGATTAGGCTCTCTCAAAAGACCAGCCTCTCTCAACATATCAGCCTCTATCAACAGACCAGCCTCTCTCAACAGACCAGCCTCTCTCAACAGACCACTCTCTCTCGACATACCAGCTTCTCTCAACAGATTAGCCTCTCTTAAAAGACTAGCCTCTCTCAACATATCAGTCTCTCTCAACAGACCAGCCTCTCTCAAAAGACCAGCCTCTCCCAAAAAACCAGCATCTCTCAACAGACCAGCCTCTCTCAACAGACCAGCCTCTCTCAACAGACCAGCCTCTCTCAACAGACCCGCCTCTCTCAACAGACCAGCCTCTCTCAACAGACCCGCCTCTCTCAACAGACCCGCCTCTCTCAACAGATCAGCCTCTCTCAACAGATCAGCCTCTCTTGACATACCAGCCTCTTTCAACAGATCAGCCTCTCTCAACAGACCAGCCTCTCTCAACAGACCCGCCTCTCTCAACAGACCAGCCTCTCTTAACATACCAGCTTCTCTCAACAGAGTAGCCTCTCTTAACAGATCAGCCTCTCTCAACAGACCAGCCTCTCTCGACATACCAGCCTCTCTCAACAGATTAGGCTCTCTCAAAAGACTAGCCTCTCTCAACATATCAGCCTCTATCAACAGACCAGCCTCTCTCAACAGACCAGCCTCTCTCAAAAGACCAGCCTCTCTCAACAGACCAGCCTCTCTCAACAGACCACTCTCTCTCGACATACCAGCCTCTCTCAACAGATTAGCCTCTCTTAAAAGACTAACCTCTCTCAACATATCAGTCTCTCTCAACAGACCAGCCTCTCTCAAAAGACCAGCCTCTCTCAAAAGACCAGCATCTCTCAACAGACTAGCCTCTCTCAACAGACCAGCCTCTCTCAAAAGACTCGCCTCTCTCAACAGACCAGCCTCTCTCTCAACAGATCAGCCTCTCTCAACAGATCAGCCTCTCTCAACAGACCAGCCTCTCTTGACATACCAGCCTCTTTCAACAGATCAGCCTCTCTCAACAGACCAGCCTCTCTTGACATACCAGCCTCTTTCAACAGATCAGCCTCTCTCAACAGACCAGCCTCTCAACATATCCGTCTCTCTCAACAGACCAGTCTTACCATACAAGACACCAACATCTCTCAACAGACCTGCCTTTCACAACAGACCAGTCGTAACATACAAAAGACCAGATTTTCTTAAATGACTAATCTTACCATACAAGACACCAGAATATCTCAACAAACTAGTCTAACCCTCTAAGAGACCAGCAACTCTCAACAGACCAGTCTTACCATACAAAACACCAGTCTCTCTCAGCAGACCAGTCGTAATATACAAAAGACCAATCTCTCTCAACTGACCAATCTTACCCTCCAAGATACCAGCCTCTCTCAACAGACCATTCTTAGCATACATTAGACCAGCCTCTCTCAAAAGATTAGTCTTATCATACAATAGACAAGCCTCTCTCAACACACCAGTCCTACCATACAATACACCAGCCTTTCTTAACAGATCAGTCGTAACATACAATAGACCAGCTTCACATAACAGACATTAGACACCAACCTCTCTCAAAAAGACCAGCCTTACCATACAAAAGACCAGCCGATCTCAAAAGACCAGTCAGACCTATCAAGAATTCAAAGCGACAGATATTCGTGCACTGCAGTACAAGCCTGATGCTACTGTCTACTTCAAAGTGAATTAGCAGATAGCTGGCAATTGCTAAGCTAGGGTCGTAAGATTATGATCTCATCTGTAGCCCCTGTCAAGTTGTACAAGAGCAGAAAAAAGATAAAAGCTGTCATATTTAAGCACCTAAAAGCAAGTTATAAACACACCTTTTTATAATGATTTCCCTGATTTTAAAAATATGTTGCCATTTTGATGTTTCTTTATGTGACGTTTATTCAAAGAATAAATTTTAAAAATAAACACATTTTTTTGTGTTACATTTTTGTAAAATACGTAAACATTAAGTCAGTATTAATGTGATTAGTGTGTTATGTCTCATTCATAATATATCTTACAATACGGTTTTTGTTTTTACTATTATCATTCTACAAACTCAGCACCCACCAGATTTAGTAAAATAAACTGTGAGAATAGAAAGATGTAATAAATAAAGCATAACCTTCAACAGTTAACAAGTCTAGTGCTAAATACAGACATAATGAATACAGTCGAAAGCGATAAAGCCATACTAAAACATCTCTACTAAAAATTAAACTGACCCCATAATGTAGAATAAACTCAAATAATTAAAATATGAGCCCAAAACTATAATCTAAATATTATGAGGTGTTAATTATAACTTAAAAACATAAACATAACTAAATAACGTGCATTGGACAAAACGAACGAACGCGGATGAGACCAAAATTCTCGGCTCAAAACAGCTAAGTCTGCGCGCGCACAGATCAGGGGCGGAACTACAGTGCCGCCAGACCCCGCAATGCGGGGGGGGCCCACGCCATTTAGGGGCCCAGAGCCGACCATAATAAAAAAAATGTATAGTTTAAAAAAAAGTAATTAATTTTCTTTCATTTTTGACTTAATGGTTGTTTTGTAAAAATATTACTGTAGCTGCGGTTGGATTATCTTTATTCTATAGACACCACCCCACGCTCTTGTATCTTCTTTTTCCCTTTGTTTTTAAACAACTGTGAAAGACTAGTCTTTCTCCTACAATTAAACTCATCAAACATAAGCACATGTTCAAACCACTTCCATGACTTATTTCCCTTTTATTAAAAATAGTCAAATAGGGGTGATCATAAGCTCCTTTTAATAGATTTGTACTAAACAAATTCAAAAGCAATTACTTCTCTTAATTATTATCTTTTTAAAGTAATTACTAAAGAGTAATATTGTATAAAAAGGAAATGCATTGAAATATATTAAATCAATAATATTTAAAACATTAATAATATAAATCCAGAAAAATAAATAAAAATAAACATAACACGAGACACCATTACTTATACAAAGCTTTCATGTTTTATATTATTGTGACCGACTTGATCCTAGGAGTAGGGCATCTATAAAAATTAATTAAAACTGATTTTCACCTAACACACTAATGCATATACACACATGACATGATGTTGGAAAAAATTTATTTGATGTTTTTCAAACCGAACAGGCCAGCAACTAGCATCCTATGTTCGTATTTTGTGATTGTATATATATATATATATATATATATATATATATATATATATATATATATATATATATATATATATATATATATATATATGGGGGGGGGGGCCTAAAAAATTTTTTTGCGGGGTGGCCCTTTTTTTCTAGTTCCGCCACTGGCACAGATAGACGGTTTGCACCGAGAATTTTAGACCGAGCAAACCGTCTATCTTTTTAAACCTGCTATAATTTTGTAAATATTAACAAAACTCATTTTAAAACGCTACAGTATAGTCGGCAGAGAGTTTCTTCGGAGATATCATTTTAAAAAATGTGTATTAGAGCGACCGAGAAGGAAATAATCAGTTTTTTGTCTCTCCTGTAAAATTTACATTTTCGGAGTTAGACGGTTTGCGACCGAGACCATCGATATGCTGTATGCTGTCACGTAGGTCCCTACATATGCTGTATGCTGTCACGTAGGTCCCAACATATGTTTTATGCTGTCACGTAGGCCCCGACATACGCTGTATGCTGTCACGTAGGTCCTTAAATATGCTGTGTGCTGTCACGTAGGTCCCTACATATGCTGTCATGTAGGTCCTTACATATGCTGTATGCTGTCACGTAGGTCCCTACATATGCTGTATGCTGTCACGTAGGTCCCTACATATGCTGTATGCTGTCACGTAGGTCCCTACATATGCTGTATGCTGTCACGTAGGTCCCGACATATGCTGTGTGCGGTCACGTAGGTCCTTAAATATGCTGTATGCTGTCACGTAGGTTCTGACATACGCTGTATGCTGTCACATAGGTCCCTACATATGCTGTGTGCGGTCACATAGGTCCCGACATATGCTGTATGCTGTTACGTAGGTCCCTACATATGTTGTATGCTGTCACGTAGGTCCCAACATATGCTGTATGCTGTCACGTGGTCCCTACATATGCTGTCACGTAGGTCCCGACATGTTTTATGCTGTCACGTAGGTCCCGACATACGCTGTATGCTGTCACGTAGGTCCCTACATATGCTGTGTGCTGTCACGTAGGTCCTTAAATATGCTGTGTGCTGTCAATTAGGTCCCTACATATGCTGTATGCTGTCACGTAGGTCCCGACCTATGTTGTGTGCGGTCACGTAGGTCCTTAAAATGCTGTATGCTGTCACGTAGGTTCCGACATACGCTGTATGCTGTCACGTAGGTCCCTACATATGCTGTGTGCGGTCATGTAGGTCCTTAAATATGCTGTATGCTGTCACGTAGGTTCCGACATACGCTGTATGCTGTCACGTAGGTCCCTACATATGCTGTGTGCTGTCACGTAGGTCCTTACATATGCTGTGTGCTGTATGCTATCATATATCAGGCAGACATCTCATCTTGTTCAAGAAAAAAATTAATTTAAAAAAATGGTAAAACTTGATTCTTCAGGCAATAAGATAGGCGCTGAGGGCATTGAACATTTGCTGCGGGCTGTCCAATACCAGACAACACTGACATCACTAGAACACAAGCCTGGCGCCATGGGTCTGATGCGGCTAGCACTCAACGTAAGTGGCTAGTACATTCCCACTTGCTCGCTTCATTCCCTGCTACACTAAGTTTTTATTAACCAAAATATCAACTGACTTTAATCTTCTTATAGTTTCTGAATAATAAACACATAAAATTCTTAGTAAGTTTTAAATTGGACTAAAAAGCTTAAAGAAATAAGTTATTTTTACCTAAAATCTTTTTTTTAAAGTTACAATTAATTTTTTTCTCTTCACAGAAACAAAGAAATTTTTATTTTTAAATCTGGCCAGTTTTCTTGTTTCTGTTGGTGTAAAAATCGGTTTCCTAATAAATTGTAAAACTATTCAATGACATTGTTGGCTTATCAATACTTGGCCAGCTTGGGCAGTTGATTTTTTCAAACTTTTTTTAAAATGCTACATATTGATCATATAGATATTTGCTAGACAGAAATTGTTACCTGTTGCTAGATATTTGCTAGACAGAAATTGTTACCTGTTGCTATCAACAGAAAAATCCTGTGCCAGCTGACAATGAAAGTTTGAAGAAAATTTTGGACCTGATGCAGCCTAAAGACCCTTTTTATATCAGCTCTGTGGTGGCCCCTTAACAGGTGGGTACTGTGGTCACTTGGCCAGTAGATAGAGGTGACTTGATGGACCATTATACTAGTAGGACCAGTGGTCACTTGGCCAGTAGATAGAGGTGATTTGATGGACCATTATACTAGTAGGACCAGTGGTCACTTGGCCAGTAGATAGAGGTGATTTGATGGACCATTATACTAGTAGGACCAGTGGTCACTTGGCCAGTAGATAGAGGTGATTTGATGGACCATTATACTAGTAGGACCAGTGGTCACTTGGCCAGTAGATAGAGGTGATTTGATGGACCATTATACTAGTAGGACCAGTGGTCACTTGGCCAGTAGATAGAGGTGATTTGATGGACCATTATACTAGTAGGACCAGTGGTCACTTGGCCAGTAGATAGAGGTGATTTGATGGACCATTATACTAGTAGGACCAGTGGTCACTTGGCCAGTAGATAGAGGTGACTTGATGGACCATTATACTAGTAGGACCAGTGGTCACTTGGCCAGTAGATAGAGGTGATTTGATGGACCATTATACTAGTAGGACCAGTGGTCACTTGGCCAGTAGATAGAGGTGATTTGATGGACCATTATACTAGTAGGACCAGTGGTCACTTGGCCAGTAGATAGAGGTGATTTGATGGACCATTATACTAGTAGGACCAGTGGTCACTTGGCCAGTAGATAGAGGTGATTTGATGGACCATTATACTAGTAGGACCAGTGGTCACTTGGCCAGTAGATAGAGGTGATTTGATGGACCATTATACTAGTAGGACCAGTGGTCACTTGGCCAGTAGATAGAGGTGACTTGATGGACCATTATACTAGTAGGACCAGTGGTCACTTGGCCAGTAGATAGAGGTGATTTGATGGACCATTATACTAGTAGGACCAGTGGTCACTTGGCCAGTAGATAGAGGTGATTTGATGGACCATTATACTAGTAGGACCAGTGGTCACTTGGCCAGTAGATAGAGGTGATTTGATGGACCATTATACTAGTAGGACCAGTGGTCACTTGGCCAGTAGATAGAGGTGATTTGATGGACCATTATACTAGTAGGACCAGTGGTCACTTGGCCAGTAGATAGAGGTGATTTGATGGACCATTATACTAGTAGGACCAGTGGTCACTTGGCCAGTAGATAGAGGTGATTTGATGGACCATTATACTAGTAGGACCAGTGGTCACTTGGCCAGTAGATAGAGGTGATTTGATGGACCATTATACTAGTAGGACCAGTGGTCACTTGGCCAGTAGATAGAGGTGATTTGATGGACCATTATACTAGTAGGACCAGTGGTCACTTGGCCAGTAGATAGAGGTGATTTGATGGACCATTATACTAGTAGGACCAGTGGTCACTTGGCCAGTAGATAGAGGTGACTTGATGGACCATTATACTAGTAGGACCAGTGGTCACTTGGCCAGTAGATAGAGGTGATTTGATGGACCATTATACTAGTAGGACCAGTGGTCACTTGGCCAGTAGATAGAGGTGACTTGATGGACCATTATACTAGTAGGACCAGTGGTCACTTGGCCAGTAGATAGAGGTGACTTGATGGACCATTATACTAGTAGGACCAGTGGTCACTTGGCCAGTAGATAGAGGTGATTTGATGGACCATTATACTAGTAGGACCAGTGGTCACTTGGCCAGTAGATAGAGGTGATTTGATGGACCATTATACTAGTAGGACCAGTGGTCACTTGGCCAGTAGATAGAGGTGATTTGATGGACCATTATACTAGTAGGACCAGTGGTCACTTGGCCAGTAGATAGAGGTGACTTGATGGACCATTATACTAGTAGGACCAGTGGTCACTTGGCCAGTAGATAGAGGTGACTTGATGGACCATTATACTAGTAGGACCAGTGGTCACTTGGCCAGTAGATAGAGGTGATTTGATGGACCATTATACTAGTAGGACCAGTGGTCACTTGGCCAGTAGATAGAGGTGATTTGATGGACCATTATACTAGTAGGACCAGTGGTCACTTGGCCAGTAGATAGAGGTGATTTGATGGACCATTATACTAGTAGGACCAGTGGTCACTTGGCCAGTAGATAGAGGTGACTTGATGGACCATTATACTAGTAGGACCAGTGGTCACTTGGCCAGTAGATAGAGGTGATTTGATGGACCATTATACTAGTAGGACCAGTGGTCACTTGGCCAGTAGATAGAGGTGACTTGATGGACCATTATACTAGTAGGACCAGTGGTCACTTGGCCAGTAGATAGAGGTGACTTGATGGACCATTATACTAGTAGGACCAGTGGTCACTTGGCCAGTAGATAGAGGTGACTTGATGGACCATTATACTAGTAGGACCAGTGGTCACTTGGCCAGTAGATAGAGGTGACTTGATGGACCATTATACTAGTAGGACCAGTGGTCACTTGGCCAGTAGATAGAGGTGATTTGATGGACCATTATACTAGTAGGACCAGTGGTCACTTGGCCAGTAGATAGAGGTGACTTGATGGACCATTATTCTAGTAGGACCAGTGGTCACTTGGCCAGTAGATAGAGGTGACTTGATGGACCATTATACTAGTAGGACCAGTGGTCACTTGGCCAGTAGATAGAGGTGACTTGATGGACCATTATACTAGTAGGACCAGTGGTCACTTGGCCAGTAGATAGAGGTGACTTGATGGACCATTATACTAGTAGGACCAGTGGTCACTTGGCCAGTAGATAGAGGTGATTTGATGGACCATTATACTAGTAGGACCAGTGGTCACTAGGCCAGTAGATAGAGGTGACTTGATGGACCATTATACTAGTAGGACCAGTGGTCACTAGGCCAGTAGATAGAGGTGACTTGATGGACCATTATACTAGTAGGACCAGTGGTCACTTGGCCAGTAGATAGAGGTGATTTGATGGACCATTATACTAGTAGGACCAGTGGTCACTTGGCCAGTAGATAGAGGTGACTTGATGGACCATTATACTAGTAGGACCAGTGGTCACTTGGCCAGTAGATAGAGGTGACTTGATGGACCATTATACTAGTAGGACCAGTGGTCACTTGGCCAGTAGATAGAGGTGACTTGATGGGCCAGTAGATAGAGGTGACTTGATGGACCATTATACTAGTAGGACCAGTGGTCACTTGGCCAGTAGATAGAGGTGACTTGATGGACCATTATACTAGTAGGACCAGTGGTCACTTGGCCAGTAGATAGAGGTGACTTGATGGACCATTATACTAGTAGGACCAGTGGTCACTTGGCCAGTAGATAGAGGTGATTTGATGGACCATTATACTAGTAGGACCAGTGGTCACTTGGCCAGTAGATAGAGGTGACTTGATGGACCATTATACTAGTAGGACCAGTGGTCACTTGGCCAGTAGATAGAGGTGACTTGATGGACCATTATACTAGTAGGACCAGTGGTCACTTGGCCAGTAGATAGAGGTGACTTGATGGACCATTATACTAGTAGGACCAGTGGTCACTTGGCCAGTAGATAGAGGTGATTTGATGGACCATTATACTAGTAGGACCAGTGGTCACTTGGCCAGTAGATAGAGGTGACTTGATGGACCATTATACTAGTAGGACCAGTGGTCACTTGGCCAGTAGATAGAGGTGACTTGATGGACCATTATACTAGTAGGACCAGTGGTCACTTGGCCAGTAGATAGAGGTGATTTGATGGACCATTATACTAGTAGGACCAGTGGTCACTTGGCCAGTAGATAGAGGTGATTTGATGGACCATTATACTAGTAGGACCAGTGGTCACTTGGCCAGTAGATAGAGGTGATTTGATGGACCATTATACTAGTAGGACCAGTGGTCACTTGGCCAGTAGATAGAGGTGACTTGATGGACCATTATACTAGTAGAACCAGTGGTCACTAGGCCAGTAGATAGAGGTGATTTGATGGACCATTATACTAGTAGAACCAGTGGTCACTTGGCCAGTTGATAGAGGTGACTTGATGGACCATTATACCAGTAGATAGAGGTGATTTGATGGACCATTATACTAGTAGAACCAGTGGTCACTTGGCCAGTAGATAGAGGTGACTTGATGGACCATTATACCAGTAGATAGAGGTGATTTGATGGACCATTATACTAGTAGGACCAGTGGTCACTTGGCCAGTAGATAGAGGTGATTTGATGGACCATTATACTAGTAGGACCAGTGGTCACTTGGCCAGTAGATAGAGGTGACTTGATGGACCATTATACTAGTAGGACCAGTGGTCACTAGGCCAGTAGATAGAGGTGATTTGATGGACCATTATACTAGTAGGACCAGTGGTTTACTCAATCTGCAATTGGAACTAAAATACTTGAAATCTTCCATCCACAGATCAATGTCTTGAGTGGTGTGCCCAGTCAGCTATGTCCACAAATATCAAGTGATATTTTCTAACTTCTGCTTTACTCCATTTTGTACATTTATATTTATATTTTTTAAATATACACATCCAAACAAAGCAGTAGCGTTTTTCTCAATCACTTTGTTAAAATGTACCAAATAAACCAATAATTACCTTCTGAATTGATGCTGTGGCAAGTTTTTGGTTTGAGCAAATAAACTCCGCTGATTAAGTATTGAAACAGAATTTTATTAGATAAATAAAACCAATGAGCAGAAATGTGACAAAGATGCATATTTGAATCATTAAAAACTTGCAACAATTTTATGTGCTCAACAACAGCAGTCAACTAGCTGTCATCCATTAGGGGAGGGCAGTCAACATGACATCTGTCATCCATTAGGGGAGGGCAGTCAACATCTGTCATCCATTAGGGGAGGGCAGTCAACATCTGTCATCCATTAGGGGAGGGCAGTCAACATCTGTCATCCATTAGGGGAGGGTAGTCAACATGACATCTGTCATCCATTAGGGGAGGGCAGTCAACTGACATCTGTCATCCATTAGGGGAGGGCAGTCAACATCTGTCATCCATTAGGGGAGGGCAGTCAACATGACATCTGTCATCCATTAGGGGAGGGCAGTCAACATCTGTCATCCATAAGGGGAGGGCAGTCAACTGACATCTGTCATCCATTAGGGGAGGGCAGTCAACATGACTTCTGTCATCCATTAGGGGAGGGCAGTCAACATCTGTCATCCATTAGGGGAGGGCAGTCAACATGACTTCTGTCATCCATTAGGGGAGGGCAGTCAACATGACATCTGTCATCCATTAGGGGAGGGCAGTCAACATGACATCTGTCATCCATTAGGGGAGGGTAGTCAACATGACATCTGTCATCCATTAGGGGAGGGCAGTCAACTGACATCTGTCATCCATTAGGGGAGGGCAGTCAACATCTGTCATCCATTAGGGGAGGGCAGTCAACATCTGTCATCCATTAGGGGAGGGTAGTCAACATCTGTCATCCATTAGGGGAGGGCAGTCAACATCTGTCATCCATTAGGGGAGGGCAGTCAACATGACATCTGTCATCCATTAGGGGAGGGCAGTCAACATCTGTCATCCATTAGGGGAGGGCAGTCAACATGACATCTGTCATCCATTAGGGGAGGGCAGTCAACATCTGTCATCCATTAGGGGAGGGCAGTCAACATGACATCTGTCATCCATTAGGGGAGGGCAGTCAACATCTGTCATCCATTAGGGGAGGGCAGTCAACATGACATCTGTCATCCATTAGGGGAGGGCAGTCAACATCTGTCATCCATTAGGGGAGGGCAGTCAACATCTGTCATCCATTAGGGGAGGGCAGTCAATATGACATCTGTCATCCATTAGAGGAGGGCAGTCAACATCTATCATCCATTAGGGGAGGGCAGTCAACTGACATCTGTCATCCATTAGGGGAGGGCAGTCAACATCTGTCATCCATTAGGGGAGGGCAGTCAACATGACATCTATCATCCATTAGGGGAGGGCAGTCAACATCTGTCATCCATTAGGGGAGGGCAGTCAACATCTGTCATCCATTAGGGGAGGGCAGTCAACATGACATCTGTCATCCATTAGGGGAGGGCAGTCAACATGACATCTGTCATCCATTAGGGGAGGGCAGTCAACATGACATCTGTCATCCATTAGGGGAGGGCAGTCAACATCTGTCATCCATTAGGGGAGGGCAGTCAACATCTGTCATCCATTAGGGGAGGGCAGTCAACATCTGTCATCCATTAGGGGAGGGCAGTCAACATCTGTCATCCATTAGGGGAGGGCAGTCAACATCTGTCATCCATTAGGGGAGGGCAGTCAACATCTGTCATCCATTAGGGGAGGGCAGTCAACATGACATCTGTCATCCATTAGGGGAGGGCAGTCAACATGACATCTATCATCCATTAGGGGAGGGCAGTCAACTGACATCTGTCATCCATTAGGGGAGGGCAGTCAACATCTGTCATCCATTAGGGGAGGGCAGTCAACATCTGTCATCCATTAGGGGAGGGCAGTCAACATGACATCTGTCATCCATTAGGGGAGGGCAGTCAACATCTGTCATCCATTACGGGAGGGCATTCAACATCTGTCATCCATTAGGGGAGGGCAGTCAACATGACATCTGTCATCCATTAGGGGAGGGCAGTCAACATGACATGTGTCATCTATTAGGGGACTGTAGTCAACATGACATCTGTCATCCATTAGGGGAGGGCAGTCAACATCTGTCATCCATTAGGGGAGGGCAGTCAACATCTGTCATCCATTACGGGAGGGCATTCAACATCTGTCATCCATTAGGGGAGGGCAGTCAACATGACATCTGTCATCCATTAGGGGAGGGCAGTCAACATGACATGTGTCATCTATTAGGGGACTGTAGTCAACATGACATCTGTCATCCATAAGGGGAGGGCAGTCAACATCTGTCATCCATTAGGGGAGGGCAGTCAACATGACATCTATCATCCATTAGGGGAGGGCAGTCAACATGACATCTGTCATCCATTAGGGGAGGGCAGTCAACATCTGTCATCCATTAGGGGAGGGCAGTCAACATCTGTCATCCATTAGGGGAGGGCAGTCAACATCTGTCATCCATTAGGGGAGGGCAGTCAACATCTGTCATCCATTAGGGGAGGGCAGTCAACATCTGTCATCCATTAGGGGAGGGCAGTCAACATCTGTCATCCATTAGGGGAGGGCAGTCAACATCTGTCATCCATTAGGGGAGGGCAGTCAACATCTGTCATCCATTAGGGGAGGGCAGTCAACATGACATCTATCATCCATTAGGGGAGGGCAGTCAACATCTATCATCCATTAGGGGAGGGCAGTCAACATGACATCTGTCATCCATTAGGGGAGGGCAGTCAACATCTGTCATCCATTAGGGGAGGGCAGTCAACATGACATCTATCATCCATTAGGGGAGGGCAGTCAACTGACATCTGTCATCCATTAGGGGAGGGCAGTCAACATCTGTCATCCATTAGGGGAGGGCAGTCAACATGACATCTATCATCCATTAGGGGAGGGCAGTCAACATGACTTCTGTCATCCATTAGGGGAGGGCATTCAACATGACATCTGTCATCCATTAGGGGAGGGTAGTCAACATGACATCTGTCATCCATTAGGGGAGGGCAGTCAACATCTGTCATCCATTAGGGGAGGGCAGTCAACATGACATCTATCATCCATTAGGGGAGGGCAGTCAACTGACATCTGTCATCCATTAGGGGAGGGCAGTCAACATCTGTCATCCATTAGGGGAGGGCAGTCAACATGACATCTATCATCCATTAGGGGAGGGCAGTCAACTGACATCTGTCATCCATTAGGGGAGGGCAGTCAACATCTGTCATCCATTAGGGGAGGGCAGTCAACATGACATCTATCATCCATTAGGGGAGGGCAGTCAACTGACATCTGTCATCCATTAGAGGAGGGCAGTCAACATCTGTCATCCATTAGGGGAGGGCAGTCAACATCTGTCATCCATTAGGGGAGGGCAGTCAACATCTGTCATCCATTAGGGGAGGGCAGTCAACATCTGTCATCCATTAGGGGAGGGCAGTCAACATGACATCTGTCATCCATTAGGGGAGGGCAGTCAACATCTGTCATCCATTAGGGGAGGGCAGTCAACATGACATCTGTCATCCATTAGGGGAGGGTAGTCAACATGACATCTGTCATCCATTAGGGGAGGGCAGTCAACATCTGTCATCCATTAGGGGAGGGCAGTCAACATGACATCTATCATCCATTAGGGGAGGGCAGTCAACTGACATCTGTCATCCATTAGGGGAGGGCAGTCAACATCTGTCATCCATTAGGGGAGGGCAGTCAACATGACATCTATCATCCATTAGGGGAGGGCAGTCAACTGACATCTGTCATCCATTAGGGGAGGGCAGTCAACATCTGTCATCCATTAGGGGAGGGCAGTCAACATGACATCTATCATCCATTAGGGGAGGGCAGTCAACTGACATCTGTCATCCATTAGGGGAGGGCAGTCAACATCTGTCATCCATTAGGGGAGGGCAGTCAACATCTGTCATCCATTAGGGGAGGGCATTCAACATGACATCTGTCATCCATTAGGGGAGGGCAGTCAACATCTGTCATCCATTAGGGGAGGGCAGTCAACATCTGTCATCCATTAGGGGAGGGCATTCAACATCTGTCATCCATTAGGGGAGGGCAGTCAACATCTGTCATCCATTAGGGGAGGGCATTCAACATGACATCTGTCATCCATTAGGGGAGGGCAGTCAACATGACATCTGTCATCCATTAGGGGAGGGCAGTCAACATCTGTCATCCATTAGGGGAGGGCATTCAACATCTGTCATCCATTAGGGGAGGGCAGTCAACATGACATCTGTCAGGTACATCTCTAGTGTCACATGACTAGAAAACCTAATCTGGTCATTCCTTTCTTTCTCTAACCCTCACATTATCTGACATATATAAAATCCTCACATTACGTAATTTTTTAAAATATGTGTTTCTTACATACTGAAATGATTACACACTTTCTTATATAATCATCCATTACATTTTGTAGTCCAATGCTATTGTTATTCCATATCTTACAATACACAATTATTACATTGTCATTTTTTGTCTGATCCTTACACACAATCTTACATTCTGTAATCCTTGGATCCACCTAGGGGTCTGGAATAAAAACAAGGCCTCTTCAAGCAAACAAATAAATAAGACAGTGCCTGCCTGTCACCTCATTCATTGCCTTCTCTCATCTGAAACAAAATCAGTTGTTTTATTAGAGCAGCACAACAGTCAACTTGATTTAGCCAATAACCTAGCACACAACTAGTAGTGCCAACTAGAATAAAAACACCCCCCCCCCAAAAATATTTCCGTGCCCCACTCATATATATATCTATATGTCTATATATAGCCTACAAATATTAGCAGACTGTCTCCCTAGATTATTAAACTATTTAATAATGTAACCAATAATACAGTCTGTTACATAACCTATTGAAATATATCCATCCTGAGACAACATAGCACACAGAAATCAGCTCAAACTAATTTCTGGCCTTCAATTATTGAGTTTTAAATATGTCTTTATCTTCTTTATGCCCGACGAATATTGTGAAAAGTGTAATTTCATATCCGTCAATCAAATGAATATGAACCACGGAAGTTTGATATGTGTAATGGTTTCCTGTGTTCGTTTCATTTTTATGTTGTTTTTTTTGCATGTATATTATTAATTTTCTCTGAATTCCTTTTTAAAGCTATATCATTCGTTAGTATGCTTTATTTAAATAATATTAAGAGAACAAATTGCTTTTTAATTTGCTAAGTAAAAACTATTTCAATGAGCTTTATGAGCACCACCATTAGGCTATTTATAGAAGAGCAATAGGACGTGGGAGTGGTTTGGAGGTTGGCCTTTCTTTCACACAACAACTCATGTAGTTTGTGGTGGTTCTGGTGGTATGGTAGTTCTGGTGGTATGGTAGTTCTGGTGGTATGGTAGTTCTGGTGGTATGATGGTTCTGGTGGTATGGTAGTTCTGGTGGTATGGTAGTTCTGGTGGTATGGTAGTTCTGGTGGTATGGTAGTTCTGGTGGTATGGTAGTTCTGGTGGTATGGTAGTTCTGGTGGTATGGTAGTTCTGGTGGTATGGTGGTTCTGGTGGTATGGTAGTTCTGGTGGTATGGTGGTTCTGGTGGTATGGTGGTTCTGGTGGTATGGTGGTTCTGGTGGTATGGTAGTTCTGGTGGTATGGTAGTTCTGGTGGTATGATGGTTCTGGTGGTATGGTAGTTCTGGTGGTATGGTAGTTCTGGTGGTATGGTAGTTCTGGTGGTAAGGTAGTTCTGGTGGTATGGTGGTTCTGGTGGTATGTTGGTTCTGGTGGTATGGTAGTTCTGGTGGTATGGTAGTTCTGGTGGTATGGTAGTTCTGGTGGTATGGTAGTTCTGGTGGTATGGTAGTTCTGGTGGTAAGGTAGTTCTGGTGGTATGGTGGTTCTGGTGGTATGGTGGTTCTGGTGGTATGGTAGTTCTGGTGGTATGGTAGTTCTGGTGGTATGGTAGTTCTGGTGGTATGGTAGTTCTGGTGGTATGGTAGTTCTGGTGGTAAGGTAGTTCTGGTGGTATGTTGGTTCTGGTGGTATGGTAGTTCTGGTGGTATGGTAGTTCTGGTGGTATGGTAGTTCTGGTGGTATGGTAGTTCTGGTGGTATGGTAGTTCTGGTGGTATGGTAGTTCTGGTGGTATGGTGGTTCTGGTGGTATGGTGGTTCTGGTGGTATGGTAGTTCTGGTGGTATGGTGGTTCTGGTGGTATGGTAGTTCTGGTGGTATGGTGGTTCTGGTGGTATGGTGGTTCTGGTGGTATGGTAGTTCCGTCCCTGACAACTAGACAGCAACTCAAGTTGATGTGTCAAATTTAATATATAAAACCTAGCACACAACTAGCCAGCAACTCAAGTTGATGTACACAACAACTCCAAAAACAAAAAAAATTAAAACAAATAAGTAAAACAAACTCAAATAAAATGACAACACAACAAAAAACACTAATAGCATTGTGTATAACAACACCTCCCTTTCTGCATAAACCAGCCCATACTCTCACAGCATGATCAAATCCACTAGAATTCAATGCATGAGTGACCAGTACCACATCTGGCTGTCAGAAATCTTTGTCCAGCTAACTTAACAGTACTCAAGTTATTTTATTCACACACAGACAGTCAGACACACATACACTATACAGACAGTCAGACAAGCAGACATACAGTCAAGCAGACACACATACAATATACAGACAGTCAGACAAGCAGACATACAGTCAAGCAGACACACATACACTATACAGACAGTCAGACAAGCAGACATACAGTTAAGCAGACACACATACACTATACAGATAAGCAAACAGACAAGCAGACACTATACAGACAAGCAGAAACTATACAGACAAGCAGACACACAGAAACTATATAGACAATCACACACACAGACATAATACAGACAAGCAGACACACATACACTATACAGACAAGCAGACACACAGACACTATACAGACAAGCAAACAGACACTATACAGACACAGACACTATACAGACACATACACTATACAGACACGGACACTATACAGACACAGACACTACACAGACACACAGACAAGCACACACACACAGACACTATACAGACAAGCAGACACTATACAGACACACAGACAAGCAGACACTATACAGACACACAGACAAGCAGACACTATACAGACACACAGACAAGCAGACACTATACAGACACACAGACAAGCAGACACTATACAGACACACAGACAAGCACACACACACAGACACTATACAGACAAGCAGACACTATACAGACACACAGACAAGCAGACACTATACAGACACACAGACAAGCAGACACTATACAGACACACAGACAAGCAGACACTATACAGACACACAGACAAGCACACACACACAGACACTATACAGACAAGCAGACACTATACAGACACACAGACAAGCAGACACTATACAGACACACAGGCACTTGAAACAACATGTCTGTAACACTTGGAATTTAAATTGTAGGACAATCACTGCATTCAAAAAGCAACCCAAAGGAGAATACTTTCACAGAAGCAGGAGTACACAATTAGGCCTACATTCTTTTTGAAAAACTTTCTCTATGCTAAAAAAAATAAATTTCTAGATGTTCAAATCACTTCCTACTCATTCAATGTAAGAACGGGGGTGATGAAGATTGAAGGATTGAAAGAACAGAGGTGATGAAGATTGAAGGATTGAAAAAACAGGGGTGATGAAGATTGAAAGAACAGGGGTGATGAAGATTGAAAGAACAGGGGTGATGAAGATTGAAGGATTGAAAGAACAGGGGTGATGAAGATTGAAAGAACAGGGGTGATGAAGATTGAAGGATTGAAAGAACAGGGGTGATGAAGATTGAAAGAACAGGGGTGATGAAGATTGAAAGAACAGGGGTGATGAAGATTGAAAGAACAGGGGTGATGAAGATTGAAGGATTGAAAGAACAGGGGTGATGAAGATTGAAAGAACAGGGGTGATGAAGATTGAAGGATTGAAAGAACAGGGGTGATGAAGATTGAAAGAACAAGAGTGATGAAGATTGAAAGAACAGGGGTGATGAAGATTGAAGGATTGAAAGAACAGGGGTGATGAAGATCGAAAGAACAGGGGTGATGAAGATTCAAAGAACAGGGGTGATGAAGATTGAAAGAACAGGGGTGATGAAGATTGAAAGAACAGGGTCTAAATTGTACTCACTTGTCCTGGCCTGGCCCATGTCAGGACAATGCCCTCCTGACAAGCTGTAACAATGCACTCGTTGCGGAATGAAATTGAAGTCAGTCTCTCATGGGAAACTTTTTTGCAAACTAAAGGTTCTAAGATAGGGACTTGGTCAAGCCTTGGACATGCCTGAGTTCCATACAGCTTCATGGCACTGTCCACTGGACGCAGATGGTTTGATTTAACTACACAAGACTTTTCACAATTTCTTGCCGCTAAACTCAAGTTTCTTTTATGTTCTTTTTTATCACTAGCATCTTTACGCTCAGACAAAGTAGCAAACTTGGTATTCATCACAGGATAAGCATGACCATCTGCATAGGCATTGGAGGAAACATCGTTGGCTCCACAATTTTGTGAATGAGGTAAACTATTAGAACGTGGTAGAGGTACCAACCCTACACTGCTAGTCCGTGATTTCCCGTAAGGCTGCTTTAATACATCTTCTGTCAAGTCCCATAAACACAGCTCAGTGTCTTGCCCCACTGAACCAAAACGGTAAGAAATACAATTGAGTGTTGTGCTTGTTTCTAAGGTTGAAGAAGAATAATGGTTGGAAGTACTAATGTGAGCACCATTTGGATGCTGATGTGGTGTGTGGGGGTGCCCACAGCTGGAGTCAATGTGGTTAGTTCCTTCATTGACTGGTAGCAAACCACCTTCTGGTGCTATCACATCAGTCAGTTCTTCATCACAAACTATACATGTGTAGGGGTCAAATGCCACCATGTTGACCCAGGATTTATGGCCATGACCACGACATACAACACGTTTTTCATGAAAGGACCAAACAGTGACCAAGTCGTCCTCTCCACCAGTGACCAAATACTTGCCATCAGGTGACCAGTTGACACACAATAACCCACCAAAAAAACTCTTCATTGTCCCCAACAACTCCATTGTACTGTATTGAAAAACACGAAGATGCCCATCTTGGCTGACCACAGCTAAATACTTGGCACAGGGCGAGAAGGCAAATTCATGAATAGCACCTTGACCAATGAGCCAGCGATACATTGGATTGCGAGTACTTTTAGTTTTACAAGTGAAAACAGCGTAGCCTTCTCCTTGTTTAAAGGGTTGATAATTGGGCGGTGTCTGCCCACATGGGAGCTCTTCATTGTAAAGATACATTTGTCCAGAGGCGTGGGACACAAGGAACTGGTTGGGTGAGTTAGGAATCCACTTGATACAGGTCACTTTAGTCTTGTCAATCAGCCTCTGAAATCAAGTCAGGTAAAGCTATTTCAACAACTACTTTATGAAAAGTCTTTTGGAGTGCACTAACCCTGGATTTATCTCTTGGAAACTGCAGTGGACAATCAATGTTCCATAAATGTTCTCATTAATAAATAGTCAAACACAAAATAAGAATGCATCTACTTGCATCTTTTCTACATTGGGAACAAAAACAAACAAGATGTTTCTTCAATAAACCAAGTTCTTAGGTCAAAGTGCTACCTAGATCAAAAGTTTTATAACATAGCTAAAAAGTGCTACCTAGGTCAAAAGTTTTACAACATAGCTAAAAAGTGCTACCTAGGTCAAAAGTTTTACAACATAGCTAAAAAGTGCTACCTAGGTCAAAAGTTTTATAACATAGCTAAAAAGTGCTACCTAGGTCAAAAGTTTTATAACATAGCTAAAAAGTGCTACCTAGGTCAAAAGTTTTATAACATAGCTAAAAAGTGCTACCTAGATCAAAAGTTTTATAACATAGCTAAAAAGTACTACCTAGATCAAAAGCTTTACGTTATAGCTAAATAGTGCTACCTAGATCAAAAGCTTTATGTTATAGCTAAAAAGTGCTAGCTAGATCAAAGTTTACTTTTTGTTTCAGTTCAGTGCAACTCGAAATATATAAAAATAAATTCTTAAAATCAATGGCTAAATGTTGAGCCCTGAATTCAATGTGCTTATCTCTCAATAAGTGATAGTGTGTGTGTGTGTGTGTGTGAGGGAGAGAAAGATACCTCTTCATTGTAGAGTTTGCTAATCTCCTTTTTGATGGGGTCAATGAGCTGGACCTGGCCGGCAGTGAAGCCAACCAAGAGCAGCACACTGTCAGGGTTAAGAAAATGTTGGTTGAAGTCATGGCATGTGGGCAGCGTTCCCTTGTAGATCCTTTTATCTATTGGCTTGCTTAGGTCTGCTGCCTGAAATCAAATGGTAAATTTTTGCAATTTTGTTTCCACCAACATTTCATGTCATAACCTCACACATCCACCAACATTTCATGTCATAACCTCACACATCCACCAACATTTCATGTCATAACCTCACACATCCACCAACATTTCATGTCATAACCTCACACATCCACCTACAATCCCTCTTAAAATTGTAGCTTCTGCTCCTTTTTTTAAATCCATTTCTACTAATACCATATCTACCAAGTTCAGTTATTATGGTATAAAAATAATTTCTATTAATTTCTATTATAGTTTACAATAATTCTCAGTCTAACATGTAAAAATAATTTCTAAGGAAACGATAAAAAAATCAAGTGAAATAAACCGGGAGTGATCTCCCCTAAACCTTCTCGAATATTCTTATATAACACTACAGGAGATGGCACATCATGATTTTTAATACATATTTAATTACTTAAACTTTTTAAAATAGAATAAAATCTCGTAGAAAAAAGAATTGCACAACAATTGAATGAAAAACAGCATGCGTATAACAGTGCGGAATATTATTAGTACTTTATAAATTCATATGCGGGTTTTTTTGAGAAATCTGAAATAGCGTAATTTACTACTTCCGGTCAACGGAAATTGCTCAAAATTTGACAGAAGGCAGAGAATAAGATATTTTACTTTTATGTGAAATGCCATTTATCTATCTGAAACAGTACTCAAGTATAAGTTCCCTTTTCAAACCTGACGGTCTATAAGGCAAGTGAAGTAGAGTTCACTTGTTTCTGTGACCTCGGCATATGAAGAGATAGTGTGGTCAGCCATATGCCCAGCCGCCTTTACTTTCCCTAATGTGAGTTAGGTACCCATCAGAGTTGGGTGGACTCAGGGACGGTCTACTGACTTGAACCCAGATTCAAACTCGAGACTTACGGGTTAGCAGTCCAGCTCTCTACTGCTAGACCACTACGTCCCCTCAAGATATAGGTTTTGAAAAATTGAAAGTAGAAAAAGTTCCACTTCCGCTTATCGGAAATTGCTGAAAAGTTGATACAGAACTACAAATTTAATATAATACTTATATATAAAATTTCATCAACCTAGCTGTAACGGTACTCAAGGTATCGTGTTTACACACAGACAGACACACAGACAGACATACGGACAAGAATTATGTTTTCCGTATCAGTGAGGTGTAAAACGTTGAGATTTGTAAAAATCTCGATTTTTTTTTTGCTTGATTACAAGACTTTCTCTATAGGCCTACTTCGTATATACGAGAAAGTAAAAAATATATTAGGTAATACTTTGATGTTTAAAACACAAATTTTCCTTTGTAGACTCTAGATTCTACTTTTAGTATTTAAGCCTAATAATAAACATTATTGAAAATATTAAAGCTGTATATCGGTTATTAGGTACACAATTTGTGTTATTGAAATAAAAAATTGGTAGTAACAAGTAATGAGGGGTCTATTAAATTTGGCTGATTCTAGAGGGAAAAAGATTTAATTGTATTTACAAACAAACCTCATAACCCTAACACCAACCCTAACCCTAGCGCAGCTAATAAAGTCACTACGAATGCGCAGAACTATTAAGTTTTGTATCTTCTGCCGCCGATCAGATAGAGATGCTGGGGCGAAATTTTTTTGGATGTCAATGTGTTTGTATGTGTGTGTGTGTGGGGGGGGGGGGAATTGAGTTTTGTCAAATGTGGACTCATGTAGACAGGGTGAGTGGTGTAATATCCAAAATTTTTGTGGACATCATAAAAATTACCCTGTAATGACTAAATTTCAGTTTCTAGCATTACTTTTAAAATGTTTAAGTGTTGTTACACTTTTTGAACTCCGTGCCCCATGTCACATTATTCTCACACTATTCTGAACTGCCTCTCCCTCTAAGGAGAGTGAAATCATTTATGGACAACCCCTACACTACAAATTTTAATACACTGTATAACATAGAGGCTAAGCCAGTACTAGCTCCTCAAATCCACCAAAAAAGCAATAAAAAGTGCATCTTAAATAATCTTTTGTTCAGCTTGGGACAGACTTTCCAAGCAGATGTTTTTTTCAGGCCTTAAATCAGTTTGGGCCTTAACTTCTGAGTTTTGTTAGATCTATATGATAATGGATAGGCCTACCTTGCAATGGAGTTTAATTTTTCATTTTATGAGACAGCCCAATAAAATAAGGCCGATACTAGCCGGAATAAGATACGCATGCGCAATGGAGAGAAACTACAACTTGCCGTCGTGGCGATGTTTTCGATGGTACTGCGCATGTGTGTGTTTACAACCGCAGAACCCTAATACCAACCCTAACCCTAATCCTATCCCTAACCCTATCCCTATCCCTAACCCTAACTCTAATCTTACCCCTAACCCTCATTCTAGCCCTAACCCTAGCCATATGTCACTGCGCATGCCCAGAGCTATCTTTTGCCGACTAAGTGGAGACGTTGGGGAGAAAAATCTTCTTCCGAGTAGTCACTTTGATAAAATAATAAAGGCCGATACTAGCCGGAATAAGATATGCATGCGATATGCATGCGCAATGGAGAGAAACTACGACTTGCCTTCGCGGCGATGTTTTCGATGGTACTGCGCATGCGTGTGTTTACAACCGCAGAACCCTAACACCAACCATAATCCTAACCCTAACCCTATCCTATCCCTAATCCTACCCCTAACCCTCATTCTAGCCCTAACCCTAGCCATAGGTCACTGCGCATGCGCAGAGCTATCTTTTGCCGACTAAGTGGAGACATTGGGGAGAAAAATCTTCCGAGTAGTCACTTCGAATAATAAATCTAGAAAAAAAAATCTAGATCATAGTAGATAGGTTACTAAGAATCACTAAGAAGATGATCGAATTTTCTATGGGTCTGGCCTAGTCTAATAAAAATTTACTATGGGAGCTGATAACTCAGATAACTGAGCTAAATCTAAATGGTATAATAATCTACTTATTTAAAACAGATGACCTCCCAATGGGTAATATTACCTTACGTACACCTTTGTAAACATAGACGTACAGCTCCCTGCCAACATTAAAACACAAACGATCAGGTGACGTTGTACCGTCATTAACATCTACAAATGAAACTTTAACGGGAGTGTTTGCTTGACCATTAAATGCAACACGGCTTGGCTTTGAATACTCAGAATGGGACATCAGTTTATAGGATCCTTCGCGAGTAACGAAATGTGTTTTTATGTCATCTTTACCCCCACCCTCACTCTGAGCAGCCATGTTGAGATTTGGATAACTTCTAAGCGATACCCGGATATTAACTAATAAGGCGCATGTACCTGTAATGGTTCCTGTTATTAAACCCTAAACTAGATCTAGAATCTAGATCTAGACTCTAGATCTATATATCAAATTTGAAATATAGTTTTCTAGAGGCCTACTAATGTTTGTCTTTATATATTTTATTATTGTTTCTGTTTATTAAAATAACAATTTGCAATACGTTGGACATTTTTGCCTTTTTAAAAAAAACAGTATGATTTTTGTTGGGCCATCAGCATCAACTATGATCAACAGCGCAGAGCAGCCCGCTTATGAAAATCAAATTAAAATTTACCTTTAATAAGCTTCTGAAGTATAATTGTAAACACTATTAAACAGGGTTTCTTTTGTACATTTTTCTCCGGGGCGAGGGGCAGAGGCGTAGCGAGGGGGGGGCGGGGACATATGTCCCCGGGCGCCGACCTTAGGGGGGGCGCCAAATTGAAAGTTTGAGGGGGGGTGCAAATGAAAAGTTCGAGGGGGGGGGGTGCAAATCGAAAGTTTGAGGGGGGGGTGTGCAAATGAAAAGTTCGAGGGGGGGGTGCAAATCGAAAATTTGCTCCCGAGGGGGGCGCCAAATTGAAAGTATGTCCCCGGGCGCCGGGAAGGGTCGCTACGCCTCTGGCGAGGGGGGGGTGAAACTTCCGCCGCTAGTTAATCAGATAGTCAAGTTATCTTATTTCTGCTCGTGTACCCGTTACACTGCAAGAGAGGAAATTATATAAGTTTGTCCACACCACACTTAGACGCCCGAGGGTGCCCTTGTGTTTCTTCCAGACTTGTCTTTCTCCGGGGAGGGGGGGGGGGCGACGACTAAATTTTACGGGGGGGGGGGGGGCGGACACTGGTTAAGGTATATATTTTCTATATAAATTTCCATTTCGTTCGGGGGGGGGGGCGGTAGACTTTCTTCATTTCGAGTCAGTGTTTCTTACTTAAATGAGAATCAGAAGTGTAGGCTAATCACTCTCAATTATGGCGAGGAAGAACCTACAGTTCATGGCGTCAGAGACGTAGCGAGGGCGGGGGGTGCGGACCGCACCGGTGACACAATTTAGGGGGGGGGGGGGTGACAGCTTGGCAAAAAAATTGCAAAATGTACAGTAGAAAAATGCTTTTTTTTCTAGTTCCATTAATGATTAATTAATGTCAGATAGTCTTTTAAGTTAAAAGCGACAAGTATTACAAGAGTGTGGGGGTGAAACCTTGACGTAAACGTGCATACTATAATACATCACACTGTATTATTAATAGACTATAGATAAACATCGTTACTATAACGTCTGCAGTGATTAAAGCGTATACACATACATGTATACGTATACGGCGTATATTTAAATTATTAGGCCTATGTAGGCCGACACACACGCACATACCCCACCACACACCCACACACATGTGTATATATATATATATATATATATATATATATATATATATATATATATATATATATATATATATATATATATATATATATATATATATATATATATATATATATATATATATATATATATATTTATATGTAACTAGGGGAAGTTACCAGAGACATGAGAACGCAGTACAGCGCTGTCAACTTTGACACGACTGATGTAATAACGCAGGTGTTGGCTGATAACGATCAGAAAGCCAAGGCGTAGTATCTTGGGAAGCGATACGAGAAGAACGCAATACGGTCTGTCAACTTTGATGTGACAGGATGCAGATGGCTTATTAAATCGGACTGTACGACAGAAGCGGCGTAATTAACATTCTGATGCAACGATTAGAATCGATTACGACTACGATTATGATAGGACCGAATACGATTACGAATACGAAGGGGATATATAGGAAGGCGACGGCTGAGCTCGGTCTCTCTCTCTCGCTCGCTCTCGATCAGTCAGTCTGTGTGGCAGTATCAAGTTGGTTATTGAACGGGTTAGCCGTATTGTGTTAAGAAGGACGATAGACATGTGCATTCAGTTATGTGAAGACTAGTGAGGACTGTTGGGGGTCAGTTGATTCAGACTATTATTGTGAAGCATTCCTTTTGATTCATTATATTATTGTGAAGCATTTCTTTGATTCATGTAATAAAAGGATCAATAGCGAACCTGCATCTTCGAGTATCTATACTGTGGTCGATGTTGTGTAGAATGAGTGGTTAGACTCGGTAACATTTGGCGTTGTCGAGCAGAACTCGTTAACATTTGGCACTACAGGCAAATAGTCTCGTTACATATATATATATATATACACCTTTCTTGTGGGGGGGGGGGGTGACACCCCGAAGTGCCACTCTTTCAAAATGTAGGCCTATATATGCGTCACATTTCTCACGCGGAACACTCAGTTTACCGGTCACTTGAGTGCTGGGGCATCGGAAAAGCAAGGACGATCAATAGACGTATCCTAGAGATAGCCACGTATCCTAGAGATAGCCACGTATCCTAGAGATAGCCACGTATCCTAGAGATAGCCACGTATCCTAGAGATAGCCACGTATCCTAGAGATAGCCACGTATCCTAGAGATAGCCACGGTGGAACTCTTATTCAACTTACTCACTGAATGTCGTTTGACATCATGTCCCTATTGTTGGGTGCTCTATATAATGAATGTAAGCTTAATAGTGCTCTTGGGGAGCCCATGGCGCTCCAGGTTACCCAAGGTGCGTGACGCCGGCAGACGCACCTGATTCGATATAAACGACAGTTAAAGTAGCCCACCGTATCCTAAAGGTATAACGTACTTAAAGACGAACGTAGGCTTCATAATGCTCATGGGGGGGGAGAGTCAGCGGCGCCAAATCACACAATATCGGGGTGCCAATAGATGCGCCTGAATCAATTTTTTTTGTCATTTACGTAGCTCATTTCCGACACAATCTAAAGTGAAAGGGAGGGGGGGGGGACCTCTCTGGGAAAGTGAGGAAATCGTGGCGAAAAAAGCAAAGACCGAAGAAGAGAAAATAAGTGATGAAAATTAAGGGGAATTAATTTTGAAATTCCTAAAAAAAACTTTTAATAACAAACTTTTATATAATTATAATGATGCACTGAAAGTAGAAAATAAATGATAATAAAGTGACCCACCCTTTTTATATTTAGTGATTTACATAATAGTGCGCTGGTATTTACAAAAAAAAATATTTTTTTTTTTAATTTTAAGTGTATTATTATTTTTTAAAAGCAGAAAATGTTTTAATAACAAGATTTTATGTAATAATTCACTAAAAAGGAGAAAATAAATGATTTTCTTTAAGGGGGAAGGCTCCGGTAAAAAAAAAAAATTTAATACTCGTTAGAAAACAGTTATTTCTTTACAGCTTTATTAAGATTATTCCGAATATGCATTTCCACTAAAAAAATTGGTTTAAAAATCTTGGTACATATGACAACGGCGGCCATCTTGAAAGATGTTTTCCACAATACATAAAATATTATATTTTAAGCTCAATAAACAATGAATTCATAATCTTCTTCCATATTTTGGGGCACTCAGCTAAAAATTTTACGTGCATATCTTCAAAATAATTTATTAGGAATTTTCAAAATTTGTGTCCGTTCAAAACACTTAATTTTGGGGAATTTTGGGGCATTAAAACTAGTGTTTTAAATGGACCCCCCCAATTTGAAAATTCATAAAAATTTAAACCCTAACCCATCCCCCGTAGTGTTATATACGAATATTCGAAAAAGTTTTGGGGAGATCACTCCCGGTTTATTTATTTTTCTATATTACGCAAGAGCGGTGTCCCGGGAGGGTGCGATTTTTATTTAGCCTATTTACGGTATATGAACACCTCTGGGATTATATCTGTGGGGGAATAATCTATTTCGTACGGGCGTCGCCCCGGCTGGGTGCGATTTTGCGCCCCGGGCTTTCCTGTGAGCGCTATAGCGTTTTAAGGATAAGAGGGAGTTTTATGGTCGTTCACTAAATTGAATCAGGAGAGTTCGCAGGCGCCCGGCAGGATGTGATCTGTGTCCCGGGCTATGGCGCCTACGTTAGTTTTAAACAGTGCGAAAGACTATGCATAAGATGGGGTATCATTAGCGTCGTTCACTAAACAAAATTTTGGTTCATCATCCTTTGGAGGCAGTTTTACTCTTATCATCCACAGTATTTTTCTATTGCTTTAACTAAATTTACCCGGTATATTTAATTGTATACACAATTTTTTGAAGTTGTGTGTGAATGTGATTGTTATGTGATTTATTCTACTTCCTCAAAAGTATGCATCTGAACAAGATAAGCTGACATACAAGGGGTTCCCAGAAAGAAGCGCAACAGAAAAAAAGCGCAATGGAAAAAAGCGCAAAAAAAGCGCAATGGAAAAAAGCGCAAAAAATGCGCAACGGAAAAAAGCGGAAACAGAAAAAAGCGCAAAAAGAAAAAAGCGCAAACAGAAAAAAGCACAACGGAAAAATGCGCAAGGGAAAAAAGCGCAAAAAAAAAAAGAAAAAAACGCAAACAGAAAAAACACACACAGAAAAGTGTGCACATCGAAAAATGCGCAGAGAAATTTTAGCACAAAGACCTCTTTATTAGGGCTGCTGTGAGAGGGTCGTGTTTGACCTGACGCGATCTACTACCATTTAAAGAATACCACTACCATGTGCATTCATATTGCCACGATGCACTACGATACAGGCGATAATCGCTTGACACTACGCCAATTATTTTCTTGTTCACTATTTATTCAACTACTATTCTCGTATAAATAAACATAAAACTATCCTTGATATTGGCATTACACGGAGTATCTCTCACATTCTCCCTAGTCCGAACTCCCAAGCCTGCCTACTATATTAACCCGTTCCTATCGCAAAACTTCACTCTCTTTCTTCCGCGTCATCAAACATGCATTCGCTATATCTCTCGCACACAACACTCATTCGCACCAAAATACCATGATAAAACACACATCATAATCATTATGTATTTAATATTATTTCATCATGCACCTACCTACCTGTACTTCCTGTATTCTACAAATAATCATCAAGAATATAACAATAATTTCGGTTTTACGTACGTTTACTAATGTTTGTTTTACAAAATACGTAATCAGATGGTTTTCCTCCGTGTGAGCTGGGCACATACAGCTGTACACGTGAACACCGTGTGTCTGTCTTTTTATGCGTTACTACACCCTTCATTTGGGGGATAGGTGTACTACTTGAATCATCAGTCTCGCTGCATTAGGGACCTCCGCCGGGGGAGGGGGGTGCGGGATGAGCTTTATTTTTAAAGTTTCGCCACTGGCACCTTGATAGTGGTTTTGTAAATAAAGAGTAGTGATGTTATACAGTAGCTAAGACATGCTGTTGCGTAAAAAGAAATATACATAGTGTATAGTGTAGTGTGAAAGAAAGGAAAACATTCAAACTACTTCCATGAATTATTTCCCTTTTTTAAATAGTCAAAGAGGGGTACTCATAAGCTCCTTCTGATAGAAGAAATATACATAAGCTGTAGTGTGAAAGAAAGGAAAACATTCAAACTACTTCCATGAATTATTTCCCTTTTTTAAATAGTCAAAGAGGGGTACTCATAAGCTTCTTCTGATAGAAGAAATATACATAAGCTGTAGTGTGAAAGAAAGGAAAACATTCAAACTACTTCCATGAATTATTTCCCTTTTTTAAATAGTCAAAGAGGGGTACTCATAAGCTTCTTCTGATAGAAGAAATATACATAAGCTGTAGTGTGAAAGAAAGGAAAACATTCAAACTACTTCCATGAATTATTTCCCTTTTTTAAATAGTCAAAGAGGGGTACAGTCTGATAGATTTGTACTAAACAAATCAAAAAGCAATTTTTCTCTTAATCATTATGTTTTTAAAAAATACTTACTAAAGAATAACATGTGTAAAAAGGAAATGTATCTAAAATGAATAATATAAATAAAAAAAAAACAAAAATAAACAACACGAAACACCATTACTTATACTAAGCTTTCATGTTTTATATTGTTTTGACCGACTTGAGAATTAGGGGTCTTATGGCAAAGATAAAATAAAACAGATTTTCAAAACATGACATGTTGATGTATTTTGTTTTAATTGAAAAAAAAAATTGGCGGAACTAGAAAAAAGGGCCACCCAGCAAAAAAAATGTGCCCCCCATATATATATATATATTTTGCTGGGTGGCCTTTTTTTTCTAGTTATGTATATATGTATATATATATATATATATATATATATATATATATGGGGGGCACATTTTTTTGCTGGGTGGCCTTTTTTTTCTAGTTCCGCCACTGGTTCGAAGTGAGTTTTCATACAAGCTCAACGTTCTAATTAAGGCTGTCGCAAATGATGTAACATGTCAAAAACCTTCCATAACTTTTTTATATAGAAACAAAGAGAGATTAAGTTTTATTATAACTTCAGACTTTGACTCGGACCTACTTCAATGGTGTCTACATTGTTAAATTGATTAACTATTTAATTTAATGTAGGGCTTAATTGGCTCAATGGAAATATGCATTATCTGTATCATCTACACTACACTATTGTTTCTTCCAGACTTTTTTCTCCGGGGGCTCTAAAAATTTTCAAGGATAGTTTTGTTTATTTATACGAGAATAGTAGTTGAATAAATAGTGAACAAGAAAATAATTGGCGTAGTGTCAAGCGATTATCGCCTGTATCGTAGTGATATGAATGCACATGGTAGTGGTATTCTTTAAATGGTAGTAGATCGCGTCAGGTCAAACACGACCCTCTCACAGCAGCCCTAAAAAAGAGATCTCTGCGCATTTTTCGATGTGCACACTTTTCTGTGTGCTTTTTTTCTTTATTTGCGCTTCTTGAAAGTTCTTCCGGTCACCAATACAAATGACCTTTCACTTCCCGCTAGTACTACAACATCAAAGATAAGCTAAATCGTATATGATTGCCTACTTCTTAAAACTCTAAGTAATCGGCCTTCCGTATAAAAGATCGCTAAATTGAATTAAAGCAAAGGATATACTTGCGAATTGTATCAATGTATGAGTGGCTGACCACATCCATCAAGAATAACACAAACAGCCGGCGTACAGGCAGAGACGTCGTGATGTCACCCCCCCCCCCCCCAAAGTATGTGGGTGTCGGCCTATTTATTAAGTTTTATAATTAAAATATATGTATTTGTATAAACTTTAATCATTGCAGTAATAATAAATCCATCTAATTTGCCTTGTCAAACCCCCCACCCCCATTATGTGCCCTCAGTAATGACAATTTGGTACCTGATCTTGCAGGATTATCTACTACCATCTGAGCATTTCAACAACGATGCTTATATTACTGATAAGTGTTAAAATTCGCAGACCACAAGTTATGTGACACATGTATGAAATTCACATATTTACTTTAATCTGCAACCTCCATTTAGTCATGGGACGTGTAGTATACACCTCCTAATCTACAAAGTACTTCCCCTAACATGCCAAGGGCATTAACTGTCACAGAGAAAGTTAATGTTGAGGTCAATTTCAGAAGCAGGGTATTCACCCTATTGCAGATAAAAAATTGGCCCCATGTGAGACCAAAACAATTTTATTAATTGTAGTTAAAACAAGCTACTACACACAGTACTTGACAAAATTGCAATAACAAAATTCAACCTTTTATTCAACTTAAAAAATTGCACAACAAATGACATGGCAGTAGTCAAATATTCGAAGGATCAAGTTTGATTCAGCAATATCTATAAATAGGCAGATGAAAAGCTACAATGATGGAATGAAAAAAAAAAATGAACTAGAGGCTAAATTATTGGTCACGTAAACCAAAACTTCAAATAGTATAGTCAATTTAATCCACTTCCTCCATACGTGATGCATCATCCTCATCTCCTTCCAGTGGTGGCATCTCTTCAGCACTTGCACCTTCAGAACTAGGTGTCTCAGTGGCTGTAGTATCATCCTCATCAATACCTGAGGTTGGAAAATAACTGGGCTTTAGACAAGAGTCATTTTTTTAAAATGAGCCATGAAATGTGTACAATTTTGTATTCTAATTTTTAAATGTACTACAATAAAATATCTCCAGTATTTTGTGCAGTCCTTTTCTTCGTTCTTAATTTTTAGTGTTGGAAGGGATCGAGCCTTTATGCCAGAGGGTTTGAACTCTCAACTTTTTTGAATTTATCAACCATGAACTTTGCCTCCATCACAATTAAGGCTACGTGTCAGTGTCAACTGGTTATGCGTCATAGAGGCCATTGACTCAGATTTCAGCCTGCTTTTCTTTTTAGATTTGCTTCCATAGCATTTGTTCAGCCAAGAACAAACTACAAGGCATCAGTTGTTTGATTTTGCAGTCTCTCCTAGAAGAGTTGCTGCCCCCCCCCCCCCCCCAGCTAACTAGCCTCATCTGCCCGAGGGTTTGAACTCGAGACTTTTCTGTGCAGTCCAAATTCTGTGTGGTTAGATCCAAGTTAAAATGTATATAATTGCCATACCATCAAGGCATTCATTGAAGTATGCTCTTGGACTGTTATAATGGGGACATAAAATTACATCATACTATGCAGTTAAGTGGCACTATCCAAAATGGAAATCAAATGGCACAAGAATGCTGCTTTGATATAGGTCAAAATAAGAGGCACCCAACCTATGTAAAACCATTTGATTTTTAATGAAGGAATTGCCCATTAAGCTTAGTTTTTGAAAATGGTGGAAGATTTTTTACTTATAGTACAGTAAGTTAAAACATCTACCAAGCCTCTTTCCATATATTGGCAAGGATTTTACCATAAAAAAAAAAACACACAACCAAAATACTTACCCAATCCCAACTTAATCATTCTGTGAATCCTGTTTGCATGTGAGGTTGGGTCCTCAAGACTAAAGCCAGATGCTAAAAGAGAAGTTTCAAACAAGAGGAGACAAAGGTCTTTCACTGCTTTATCATTTTTATCAGCATCAGCCTTCTCCTTTAGAGTTTTGACTATAGGATGGTCTGGGTTGATCTCTAGGTGTTTTTTGGCTGCCATATAGCCCATAGTGCTTGTGTCTCTCAGAGCTTGTGCTTTCATTATTCTCTCCATGTTTGCTGACCAGCCATACTGAGATGTGACAATACAGCATGGAGATGTCACTAGCCTATTTGATACAACCACCTGTAGACATTGAAGTTATAGCTAAATTATTACAAATAAAAGCAATAAATACCTTACCGTATCCATTACACTTATTTGGCTACAATTTCACAACCAACTCAAACATATGTAAATGTTTGCACTGTAGAACTGCTGATATTTTAGCCCTACGATACCACAAAAGCTCAGAATAACCTAATAAATAAATATGGGGGGGGGGGGGGAGAGGAGGAGAGAAAGGATATAAAAATAGTGGTTTTCACTTCTGCATGAATAGTTCAATAAACGGGCTTAATAAACAACTGCCAAACAATGAGCCCTATTTAAGATCAATGAAAAACAATTCGACAAAAGGTTATAAATGAGTTATTAAATATGGTTGAAAGATGTCTTGCTAAACCTTATACAAAACACTTCTGGCTTTCCAAATTGATAAACATTTTAAAGAAATATAAATTTTGACCCACATCATGACCCAACAGTCAACACAAACCTTTTCTACTTTTTTGTCCAAGATTTCCTTCATTACTTTACAGAGTCCCTCAAATTGAGCTTTAGCTTCCTCCAAGCGCTTCTTCTCAGCCTCATCTTCTGGCAGTTCAAGGCCTTCTTTAGTGACACAAACTAAATTCTTGCCCTCATACTCTTTCAGCTGCTGAACTGAGTACTCATCAATGGGATCTATCATGTAAATCACCTCATATCCTCTCTTCTTAACTCTTTCAACAAAAGCTGAATTCTGAACAGACTCTTTTGTTTCACCTATTGTGGGGAGAAAAAAAAAATATTTTAAAAATATAAAAAAATAAATAACCCAAAATCAATGATGACCCACCGCATTTTAAAAATATCACTATACAAACCTGTAATGTAATAGATATCTTTCTGGTTCTCTTTCATTCTTGATACATAATCTTTCAATGATGTCAACTCATCACCAGACTGAGATGTGTAGTACCTCAAGAAATCTGCCAATTTCTTCCTGTTCGTACTGTCTTCATGGATTCCCAACTAGAGAAGAAATATTGTTAAATCTATAAAGGACTAGGATAACCCACTTAATTCCTTAAATTCCTTCCCCAGTCTCTAAGCATTAAATAACCAACAACTTGTTTGAAATGTTAAAATAGATTTAATAATATTAAAAAAATAAAAAATAAATCCCAAGCAAAATAAAACACTACAAATATTTCTGTAAATAGTGTATTTTAAATGCTAAAACAAGGTAATTAAAAAGTCTAGTGACAATTTTAGCGCAATTTCCTTATGTTATCTAAAAATAGCTCTGTCGTAGCGTAAATCAAGAGCAGGGTTAGTAAAACCATTGGTTAGTTATTAAAACTTTTTTTATTAATTTTTTTTCAGTATTTTACATGTTTTATTTACAATAGAGTTACATGACTAAAAACCATCGCGCGCCTACTGAACATGATGGCGCAGCCATGGAATGCGATGGCGCAGCTATTGAACGTGATGACGCGTGTGGTGTGGTTGGAAAAAATGCCTACTAATTCGGTCCAAATTTTAATTAATTTAATTTTTTGTGACCAAACGAAAGGATATTTTTGAAAACTTTCTTAGGCAATAGTGTTCTAAATTATGGCAGGAATCGATTGGTACATGTTTCAAGTCGCTAAGTGGTCTGGTTGATGAGATATGGGCCAAAAACTGCTTTTTTTCGAGGTTTTTTGGCTTTTCCGGGAAATCCATGAAAGAAGCCCGGAATTTTTATGGCCTATGCTCATCCTCGTAACTTGCTTAACATATTTGCTTTTGGAACTAGTCCTCGATATTGCTTCGTTGAGGAGGAGATACGACTTAAAGCTGCGGACACATTCATACATTCATCCAGAAATGACGGGTTAATAAACGCAATTCTCCAGAATGTAAATTGCGCAAAAAATATGAAATAACTGGAAAGTAAAAAAAAATTAAACTAAATAGCAATGTATGCTACGCCGCAGGGCAGCTTGCTAAGTTATAAGTTACAAAAATACTAGAATATTCCAATAGCTATTTTGGAAAAAATAGAACTTTCACATTCTTGTACTAAAATATGTAAACGAAAGCGTAGTAGCACTTTCTGCATTAAAATAAAGCGATAGAAACATAGTTAAAGATGCAATGGCGGTTGCATAATGTTGAAAATGAGATAAAATAACATACCTTTAGATTCTTGGAAAACTGCTCAAAGAACTTTTTGTAGTTCTCTTTATCCTCAGTCAAGTCCTCAATAAGTTCAATGCACTTTTTGACTAGGTTTTTCCTAATCACTTTCAGAATTTTACTTTGTTGTAGCATTTCTCTTGATATGTTAAGAGGCAAGTCTTCTGAATCTACAACACCTTTGACAAAATTTAAGTATTCTGGAATCAAATCTTCACAATTGTCCATGATAAAAACTCTACGCACATACAACTTAATATTGTTCTTTTTCTTCTTATTTTCAAACATATCAAATGGAGCCCGCTTTGGAATGAATAAAAGAGCCCTGAATTCCAATTGACCTTCAACTGAAAAGTGTTTCACTGCCAGATGGTCTTCCCAGTCATTGGTGAGAGATTTGTAGAACTCTGCATATTCCTCTTGAGTAATATCATCAGAGTTTCTGGTCCACAGTGGCTTCGTTTTGTTCAACTCTTCTTCTTCGTTGTACTTTTCTTTAATCTTCTTTTTCTTTTTCTTGTCTTTTACATCTGCATCTTCCTCATTATCATCAAGATCTTCAACCTTTGGTTTATCTTCATCTTTTTTCTCATCTGCATCATCTTCTTTCTTCTCTTCCTCTTCATCATCAGAAACCTCCTTGTCACGCTCTTTCTCTACCAATAGTTTAATTGGGTAACCAATAAACTGGCTGTGCTTTTTAATAACATCTTTTATTTTCTTTTCCTCAAGGTATTCAAGCTGATCTTCTTTCATGTGCAAGGTAATTCTTGTGCCTCTTGACAATGGTGCTGATCGTGATGAAGCAACAGTGAAAGACCCACCAGCTGATGACTCCCAAGTATATTGCTCATCATCATTGTGCTTTGAGTCAACAACCACTCGATCAGCAACAAGATAGGCTGAGTAAAAGCCCACACCAAACTGTCCAATCATAGAAATGTCTGCCCCAGCTTGCAGAGCCTCCATAAAAGCCTTGGTTCCAGACTTTGCAATTGTTCCCAAGTTGTTCACCAGGTCTGCCTTTGTCATACCAATACCAGTGTCCTCAAGAGTTAGAGTTTTGTTCTCTTTGTCAGGTATTATTCTAATGTGAAGATCTTTTCCTGAATCAAGCTTGCTAGGGTCAGTTAAAGATTCATATCGAATTTTATCTAAAGCATCAGAAGCATTTGAAATCAGCTCTCTGAGAAAAATTTCTTTGTTGCTGTAGAACGTATTGATGATAAGACTCATCAGCTGTGCAATCTCAGCTTGAAAAGCGAAGGTTTCCTTTTCCCCCTCCATATCTTCAGCAGGATTTATTTCAGGCATCTGAAACAATCATGAAAATTAATAGGGATTTCCTACTGATTACTATTTAGCCAATAATGGATAACCACACATTTATCATAATACATCATGGTGGAATGCACCCAATTTCATACTTATGTCTGCCATAGGCACACTATTTGGTCTGGCGTACTGGGACATCATGTGTGTCTATCTACCCAGTCCATTACTAGGGCACTAAAATAGACATGTAAATTAGTCATGGGCCATTAAAATAACCGGTTTCCTGTTGTAGGAAAACATCTGATTCCAAAATAAAACCACGGGTACAGAAACTTGTAACCGGGAAATCAACATTTTAACAGTTCTGGCCTTAATATAAGTTGAACTTGTATCAAATACAACTGCTGCGTAAAACAATGGCAAAGTCTGTCAAACAGTTCTGGAATCAGCTGGAAGTACTGTAATCCATACTTTATTTGGTGTCATCTTGTATGTTAAATACAAAAATGTTTAAAATATGGATAGAAATATTTTACTTGTGTGTTAAATACTGCTTTACTAATCATATTGCTAGTTATATTAAAGTGTTTCTGCTTCTAAACATTGTTTAACAGGGCCCTTACGCAGTGGTGGTGGAGGAGTTACACAGCATTCCAAAAAATTGTTACTTTATGGAAGAATTATTCGTCATACAAAAAGGCTGGTAAATATGTTACCAACAAGGTTCTATGGCTCATGTAGGTTTTATTGAGCCGCAGAACTGGTTAGTGACCTACTTACCAGACCTATTCTTGACCCTTTTATTTGAAACAGCTATTGTTCCTTAGGTTTGTCTAGGTTTGCAGGCAATATATATAAAAAAAGGGAAGCTGCAAGTGGTAGGCTACGTATAATTTATCTACCTGCACTTACAATTCACCTTCCGTTTAAATGTTTTTGGAATCTTCGCAAAAGCTGACCATTAGGGCTAGACTAACACACCACCCCTTGTAAAAGGTCACTATTATCTTAAATTTGTATGAACTGACTGACCACAAGTATGAAGTTCTTGTTTGGGTGGGAGGGGGAAATAGGTTACAGTTTATGCTTCGTATTAGACTGGACTACACTGACCCCCACCTACCATGTCTTGCGTGTACATTTGTTTCATTTTCACAAGTGTATGAACCCTGTTTTTTTAAAGACTGTCGTAATTTTACTTGGCTTAGCAGCTAGCTAGATCTAATTTAATTAACCGATTGATAGACGCAAATCCGCTGTAAGCCAAAAAACTATCGAATCAACTTTAAAACAATTTACTACAACCAACTTCATATTTCATAGTAAAATTAACTGTAACTTTACATAACTTAAACATTATACCAGGTAAACTAAGGTTTTACCCTTTGCTGTTCAATGCAATGTCCTAAAACTAAGCATTTTGGTAAAAATGTTTCTATTTATCACAGAATGATAAAATTTACATAGCATCAGAAAACGACATGTGACGTTTCAGGGTCAGAGGTAAACAGTAAACAGCCATCTAAGCAACAAACCGGCCTACTAATTACAGTTTCTATGAGCAAAAACCCGACGAAGTGTTCGCTCCTACGTAGTGTTCGGTGTGTGTCAGCAAAGTGTAAGGTACTCATAGTGTTTTTCATAGGGGGAACTAGAATCGCCTACGACGTCATACCTCAACTTAAATTTAAGAACTTGTCTTCAAGGAGAAAAAAAAAATTTGACCTGGATATATTTAGATCTAGAAATGGACACGCATTCAGCAGATACTAGATCTAGTTTCATATAAAACATCCTAACAATTATATTTATAGAAGCAATAAACAGACTCACCGCTCAAGGCGTTAAGGCTTGAACGCGCAGAGGAAATCTAGAGTAAAGTTCCGCGTGGGATCGCACATAGCGAAAAATTCCAAACTCCCGATTTTTATCGGGCGCTATTTTGTAACCGTTTCACACAGAAACAAACCGAAAGTACGTTATTACTCCACTGCCATTCTACTCTAATATGCATGAAGTATTTTGTATTCATACGCATAGTATTTGAGATATTCATGTTTTAGTGACGAACCTGCTTGGGATCAACTTTTCCCCCTTTTTTTTTTGCTTGAGATCACCTGTCCCTGCTTGGGATCACTAGCATATTTTTTACGTTTTGATCCAATTTTAACAATTGAATTAACATTTTACACATTTAAACGTATTGTTGATTGTATAATTAATTAATAGATTGCAAAACTAAATAAAAAACATGTTAATTAAATTTATTAACTACACATTACGGATGACCCAGTGATGACTCAAGGGACGCAACTATAACAATCATAACAAAGGGACGTAACAATCACTAACATGACATAACATTTGCTTAACATATGATTGAATGAGAGATACAAACTAGATTTAGAAGAGGTAGATGATTGAAATAATTTAAAACAACAGAAAAAAATAGAAAGTATACAGATTCTAGGCTTAGCTTGAAATATAGAGCATCTAGATCTAGGCTAGTCTAGCTCAAGTCGTAGGTGTACCCAGCGAGGTTAAAACACAAAAATCGTTACCCCAGCTGGGATCACCCCCATTTCACCTCCAAGATTGTTTTAATAGCCTTAACTACAGTATTTTCAGTGTCCCGCACATAAATAGAAGCTATTTATAGTTAACCTAGTTATAAAAGCTTTGATTGGTTGGTTTTATTCATCTCATCCGGAACCTAGTGCTTTTCATAGGGGGGAACTAGAATGGCCAACGACGTCATACCTCGAAACTTGAAAATTTAAAAACTAGTCTTCCAGAAGGAGGGAAACAAAAGAATTTGACCTGGATATATTTAGAAATGGACATGTTTACAGTAGATATTGGTAGTTTCGTATAAAACATCCAAACAAATATTATACGAAGCGATAAACAGGAATGTGATCCCACCGAGGTTTTGATCTCACGCGGAACTTTACTCTAGATCTAGTCTAGAATGATTTTTTGAAAATGCGCGAGTGAGCATTATTAGAAGTTTATCAGCCTATCAATTAAAAGAAATAGGCCTATAACGAGTCTATAAGATTCTAGAACTAAATCTAGATCTAGATTTCTCTCTAATCTAGAAAAGGCCTAATGAATAATATTACCGGCATCACACAAATTGAAAAAAAAAAAAGCATGTGATAGCTTTTTGGTAATTAGAATCTTGAAATAGACCTCGTTAGATGTAGTCCTAGATTTAGATAAGAAATAGACTAGATCCTACGTAGCTTTACTTACGGTTTATCTCTCTTAGGGTAGATCTTGTGGTCTACCTGTACACTTGCAATTAGTATTTCAACCCGGCGTCAGTTGAAAATTTCTTAGAATGGCGTGGTTGACTACGCTAAAATAGTTTTCGAGTAATGTATTCTTGCGCTCATTCTTTAAAATATTTGCTACATATTTGGTTACATTTTAGCTAAATTAAAGTTAATATTGTTATTTCTAGTCATTATTATAAACTTTAAATAGTCGTCATATTATGTTGAATTGTTTTTTTCAATTTTATAGCATTAATAAAATTCAGACTATTTTAGGAAGTCGCAAACGCATACGATAATAAAAGCAGTAACGAAGCTGTTCTGGATCGTTCTTGAATCTCGTCGAAACTTTCGGAAGCTCCGGTGGTATTACAACTTCCCATCGGCATGCTGTTGGCTAATTTTAGTAACGGAAATAAAACGGTTGGAAAGGTTTTCTGGAAGTACCGAGAAAAACAGAAACCAAATGATACTACTAGTCTAGATCTCAATCTATACAAGTAGTGATCTAAATTTAAAATACAAATCCTACAGCCAGTTTAATGTATTCAGAACATTTTATTTGCTGAACTGATTCTTGCGTTTACACTTGGAACTGTTTTAATACCGTAATGGATCAAGATACATTTTCTAACCATAACGGCTAGGCGTTGCTCCAACCACATATGGTCATGTTTAAATTTAAATATTTAAACATACAGATTTAGACATAGGCTTTATGTATGTTAAAATATTTTTTTTAAAAAAGCGATGAATAACTATGTGCCCAAACCAGCAACATGTACAATTTAGCCTGATCCTAATAATTAACCAACATCGCCTATAATTCCCCGATAATATGAGGGGGGGGGGGGGGGGCTCTTACATCGGATTAGCGAGTAGATAAATCTATTAAGACTATAGAAGAAAACAAACAATAGTATCCTTATAGAGAGAGAGCAATGTTCGCACTTTTCTCTATGTGTGAAACTTATATACGTGATATAATGATAATCTAGTAACTCACGCTTTACTTTATAGGATTGCAAAACACCATAACTGCCATAAGGTTATTAAACGTTTCATTTTTTCATTTTCGCGTTTAGATTTTCCGTATACGATAAAGTAGTGGGATGTAAAATGACAAAAACTAAAAATTTTCTATTCTCCGTATAAGTACTATAAGAGAAAGTAAAAAAAACGAGCGTTTTTATTTTTAATCGCAAACATCTATATTATTAGGAATAGGACGAGAAACTTTAGGGATTTTTGTGAGACTTCGATCTGAATATCTGGTGACAACACTAATCACCCGGTATCAGACAGGCCTACAATCCCACCCTGTTTGGCTGAGATAAATATACTATACCGGAACACTGATTGATTTATCACTGAATAGAGCAGATTTCTAGATAAATGGAAAGAGAATAATTTTTTTTGGAAAATCTCAAGTGCCGTACAAATAAAGCGAGAGTGATCTATCCTAAACTTTTTCGAATCTTTATAAAATCTATTTATATAAAAAGCAATGTATGATATGCGTGTGTCTGTCGGTCTGTCTGTGTGTCTGTCTTTTAAGCATGACTACACGTTTCTTCCGGTCGCCGTGAAACTTTGGGAAGTTGTTGAGAATATCCCTGGGAAGGTTTCTGCGGACAAAAATTTCAAATTCGCATGGGTGGCGCCCCGGCAGGGCGCGATTTGTTTTCTTCTCTCTATGCGGTATATAAAAAATAAAAGTCGATTGCGGTCATCCGATCACCGTTCATCAAACTTTGGTGAGTTCATTAGAACACTCCAGGGAAGGGTTCTGTAAAAAAAAAAAAAAAAAAAAAAAAAAAAAATTAATTTCGCAAGGGCGGCGCCACGGGAGGATGCGATTTTCTCTACATACGGTATATAAAAATAAAAGTCGATTGCGGTTTCACACCGTTCATCCGATCGCCATCAAATTTTGGTGGGTTTATTAGAACACTCCAGGGAAGGGTTCAGTAAAAAAACTTTTTTTTTTAAATTTGCAAGGGCGGTGCCACGGGAGGGTGCGATTTTTCTCTATATACGGTGTATAAAAATAAAAGTCGATTGCGGTTTGACACCGCCTATTCGAGTGCCATACAAATTTAGGGAGTTGATGAATACTCACGAAAGGTTTCTGGGGAGGGTGGGTGGATTTAATTTTGCATGGGCGGCCCTCGGCAGGATGCGAATCGGCGCCCTGGTTTTTTCCGAGAGCGCTATGGCAACTACGTTCGGTCTAAACAGTGTGATAGACAATGGATAAGATGGGGCGTTACAGTCGCTAATTAAATTGAATCAGGCGTGTTCACCGACGCCCTGGTAGGGTGCGATTTGGCTGCAAACAAAAATTTTAGTTTCGGCCTCCAAAGGCTCACATGGGCCGCTGAGGGCCATGTGATACGTTTTATTTTAATTATCAGAAAAATTAACCAGATGTTTCTTTTTGTCCGTAAAAAAATCCTAACAGTTTCGTCGCTTTGCGAATGATGCAGCTAGTATCTATTTTTAGACGATCCAATCAGAAATTGAGATCATCAAATAATAGACCATTAGTAACGCTAACATATTGCATCAGTCACACTGATGTTTAAAACATCAGATAATTTGTTTACGTGTTAAAGAAAAATTCCTGTTCTTTTGTGTCACTTTAGCGAATGACGCAATCTGCATCATTGTTAACATGATTTTATGATGGCGAATGTTATTTTTAAGGAGCCAGGGGTCGTACGCGGCGCCTTTGCGGTAGTGTAATCGTGGGGGGGGGGGATGCTCCTGAGACCGCCCCTCTACGTCCCTGACACATGGGCAGTCACCCAAGTGTGTTCTACCTCATTATTTCGGTGAGTGATAAATGTACACGCAAGCTTTCATGCGGTAGTGTAGGTAAACCCGTGTCCCGATATGTATGATCCAAGCGCAGGCATTGTTTACATTTAAACAACTCACTTTTAGAAAACAAGGATTGGTAACGCATGGATGAAACCCTTATTATATATCTCGTCGTACTTTCTTCTATCCGCGCGGCAACGCGCGGGGACGGGTACGCTAGTTACATATAAAGCAATGCATGTTTTTCTGTCATGCTGTCTGTCTCTTATGCATTACTACACCTTTCATCCGATCGCCATGCAACTTTGGGGAGTTGATTAGAACACTCCAGGGTAGGTTTTTGCGAAAAATCTTTTTTTTTTTTTAAATTTCGCAAGGGCGGCGCCCCAGGATGGTGCAATGTTTCTTTATACGGTATATAAATAATAAAAGTAGGATGCGGTTCCACACCGTTCATCCGAGTGCCATGAAACTTTGGGCAGTTGATGAGAATACTCCGAGAAGGTTTCTGCGGGAAAAAAATTAATTTCTTATGGTCGGCGCCCAGGAGAGTGCGATTTATATCAATACACGGTTTGGCGCTCAGAGTTCCAGAGCGGTTATGTTAGCACTTGACATCCGATAATCGGGCGTCTTGCATAGCGTGTGAGGGGCACTACTATATTCAGCGTTAAAACTTCAACAGGCGCAGCCGCCGGCGTTCCGGCTATTGCATGACCCAAAGCGCCCCTGGCTTCCTTGAGAGCACGATGGCTCCTACGTTCGTTTAAAAAAGGCAAAACACTAAAGACACGATGGGCAACACTAACCGTTGACTATATCGAATCAGGCGCGTCCTCCGACGCCTCTACAGCGTGCGATTTGGCTTCTTGAAAATTTCCCGTTAGTGCAATGGCGCCTACTTAAAGAATGGATGAAACACTCCTAATACTAATATATTTCGTCAGACTTTATTTGTCTTTTATGCATTACTTCACCTTTCATTCGACCGCCATGAAACTTTAGACGGTTGTTGAGAATACTCCTAGTGAGGCTTCTGTGGAAATAAAAATTCAATTTCGCACAGGCGGCGCCTCGGTAGGGTGCAATTGGCGCCCCGGGTTATCCCGTGAGCGCTAAGGCGCCTACGTTCGTTTTAAACAATGCGACAGACTATGGATAAGATGGGGCGTTATAGTCGTTCATTAATTTCAATCAGGCTTGTTCGCTGGCAGGGTGTGGTTTGCCCCAGGCGATCCTCTGACTTTCTTTTGAGACAGCGGGAACGCACATGACGGCCACGCTAGTATTCTTATATCAACTTGTAGAAAATAAAATGGGAATGATCTCCCCTAAACTTTCTCAAAAATTCTTATATAACACTACGGGGGATGGTAACTCGGAATAATCCATTTTTAATTACTTAAACTTTTAAAAATAGAATAAAATCTCGTAAAAAAAAAGAATAACACACAATGTAAACGGCAAACAATATCTGTATAATAGTACGGAATAATAGTACTTTAGAAATTCATATACGTTTTTTTTTTAATTTTTTTGCGAAATCGGAAATCGCGGAAATTACTAAAAAATTTGACAGAAGGCAGAAAATAAGATCTTTTACTTACATGTGAAATTTTATGTATCTATCAGAAACAGTACTCAAGTTATAGGATATATTAAAATAAAATGAAAGAATAAGTTCCACTTCCGGTTACCGGAAATCGCTGAAAAGAGTTGATACAGAACTACGAATCTGATATAATACTTATATATGAAATTTCATTAACCTAGCTGTACCGGTACTCAAGTTATCGTGTTCACAGACAGACATACACACATACACACATAGAGACATACGGAAAAAATTGCAAAACTCAGGGAGGTGTAAAAGTAAAACGTCGAGATTTGTAAAAATCTCGATTTTTTAATACGATTACAATACTTGCTCTATACTTCCTATACGAGAAAGTTAAAACGTGATGACCATGGGAAAAAAGTTTTCTTGAGGATTGTAATAACTGACACGTCAATCCACGTCTGGAGTTGAGGTGACACCAAATTTAGTAATTCACTAGGAATACAATGATTATTCCAATTGAATTAATAACCGTTATAATTCTGCCCCTCAATGCTGTTTCTAGGTGGATGCTCAAATTGTCACACAAAAAGTTAGGGGGATGACACCAAATACACCGAAGTGGATTGGGGTGAAACCTAATTGGAAATTTACAAATCTACATATCATTCGATCTAGCAAATTATTATACAACAACCTACGTATGTGTGTATGTAAGTGTGTGTGTGCAGGCGGGTGGCAGACACCAGTAGAACAATAGTTGTACCTTTGATTGTGCTTAAGTTGTTGATTTGTTATTATGGTGTGTGATATGTTTAATGGGTTATTTTTCAATTCCTAGTAAAAGTTGTGTGATATATATCCATGCATCACAATCTAAATGTGTAGTAAAGCACAAATATATGAATCCATGAATCACAAGCTAGTGCTTAATTCACAATATCTGTGGCGAATCTTGTAACTCAATTTTGATCCACTTCTGTGATGCGCTATTTTATTCAAACTTTCCAGTAACACATTTGTCTCTGTGAGGATGTTTATTTTTAATCTTATTAGACATTAAAATTTCATGTAAAAATGTCAAAGTTCAATAGCAACTGGAGAGATAAGATTCAATGCTAGAGTCTAGTGACCAGCCAGCTGTCAATGATGAATTTTTTTTTCATGGTTGAGTAATTTTTTTCCCTCAGTGTGGACTAAAATTGTCTTTTAGAGACTGCAAGCTACTGATTCAGTTGAAACATCAGTATTTCAAATATTAGCCTCTGTCTATTGAAAACAAAGGACTAAGTGGAAAAAAAGAAATATGAAAAAACCCAAATGCCAAGCCTTTTAATAAAGTTTCACACAACATTTTTATGATAAGATGGAGGAAACAACAAAGACAGTCAATAAAGAATTTAATGCTGATCAATATTTCAACATCACAGTAATACTTGTAGAAACCTTGAAACCTACTTGAAGATTTAAAAAAAAATGTACATGAAATACTTTATTGATATTCATATAGAACTTATTTAGAATAAAATATCACAAGTTGAAAACATCATACTGGTATCAAGTACTGAACACCCTCATGATCTATTAAACACCCTCATGATCTATTAAACACCCTCATGATCTATTAAGCACCCTCATGATATATTAAACACCCTCATGGTCCATTAAACACCCTCATGATCTATTAAACACCCTCATGATCTATTAAACACCCTCATGATCCATTAAACACCCTCATGATTATGATCACAGTAGCAAATCCTGTGACCTTTTTTTCTCACGCTGCCCAGAGTGGACAGCCTAGCAGTTTTCCTCACAGAACTTTTTCTTTGACTAGATGTAAAAGCACATTTATTTTCATACAATACAATTTTTAAAAAATCAAGAGATCTATCTCAAATACACGTCATTGCACTTTTATACGTGTAGTACTGAGTCATGCATCCAAATAATGAGGCGGATCCAAGCAGCAGAAACCATCATGAGCCAAAAAAATCTGGGTCAAACAGCTCTTTTGTATCAGATCCTTTTCTCATAAATGCAGCATCATAGCTATCCACTGTGCTTGCACTGACCACTGGTCGTACTTGACCTACTTTTTTCTTGAGACCATATTCTTCTTCCTCCTGGGAACCAAGCCACGAATCTGTCAAATAAAAAGGGTCAAGGTCAGGGTTTTAAAAAGCACACCAATATCAAATGTGTTTCAAATAAAGAGGTTTAGAGTTTGACACTACTATTTTAGGCATCCAATAGCTCAAGTTGTTCCAGGAAAAAGACAAGCATTGAGTTGTGGGCCAAAAGATATTTTCAAATTTGAAAGCTAAAATATTTTAACATTGTATCTTAATAAACTGGGAGTAAAAGTTCCCTTTTCAAACCTGACGGTCTATAGGGCAAGTGAAGTAAAGTTCACTTGTTTCTGTGACCTCGGCAGATGAAGAGATAGTGTGGTCAGCACTATGCCCAGCCGCCTTTACTTTCCCTAATGTGTAAACTGGGAGTGATCTCCACTAAACTTTCTCGAATATTCTTATATAAGACATGATTTTTAATCCATTTTTAATTACTTAAACTTTTTAAAATAGAATAGAATCTCGTAGAAAAAAGAATTGCGCACCAAGTGAACGCCAAAAAATCTGTATAATAGTGAGGAATATTATTAGTACTTTATAAATTCACATGCGTTTTTTGAGAAATCGGAAATAGCGTAAATTACTACTTCTGGTCAATGGAATTTACTCAAATTTTGACAGAAGGCAGAGAATTAGATGTTTGACTTTTAGATCTATGTGAAATTTCATTTATCACTGCCTGCATTAAACTCCACATCAAAGTTTGTCTTACCATCACTGCCAGCATTAAACTCCACATCAAAGTTTGTCTTACCATCACTGCCAGCATTAAACTCCACATCAAAGTTTGTCTTACCATCACTGCCTGCATTAAACTCCACATCAAAGTTTGTCTTACCATCACTGCCAGCATTAAACTCCACATCAAAGTTTGTCTTACCATCACTGCCAGCATTAAACTCCACATCAAAGTTTGTCTTACCATCACTGCCAGCATTAAACTCCACATCAAAGTTTGTCTTACCATCACTGCCAGCATTAAACTCCACATCAAAGTTTGTCTTACCATCACTGCCAGCATTAAACTCCACATCAAAGTTTGTCTTACCATCACTGCCAGCATTAAACTCCACATCAAAGTTTGTCTTACCATCACTGCCAGCATTAAACTCCACATCAAAGTTTGTCTTACCATCACTGCCAGCATTAAACTCCACATCAAAGTTTGTCTTACCATCACTGCCAGCATTAAACTCCACATCAAAGTTTGTCTTACCATCACTGCCAGCATTAAACTCCACATCAAAGTTTGTCTTAACATCACTGCCAGCATTAAACTCCACATCAAAGTTTGTCTTACCATCACTGCCAGCATTAAACTCCACATCAAAGTTTGTCTTACCATCACTGCCAGCATTAAACTCCACATCAAAGTTTGTCTTACCATCACTGCCAGCATTAAACTCCACATCAAAGTTTGTCTTACCATCACTGCCAGCATTAAACTCCACATCAAAGTTTGTCTTACCATCACTGCCAGCATTAAACTCCACATCAAAGTTTGTCTTACCATCACTGCCAGCATTAAACTCCACATCAAAGTTTGTCTTACCATCACTGCCAGCATTAAACTCCACATCAAAGTTTGTCTTACCATCACTGCCAGCATTAAACTCCACATCAAAGTTTGTCTTACCATCACTGCCAGCATTAAACTCCACATCAAAGTTTGTCTTACCATCACTGCCAGCATTAAACTCCACATCAAAGTTTGTCTTACCATCACTGCCAGCATTAAACTCCACATCATTCTCAACTTCCACATCCTCTGATCCTGCCTGAATACTCTTGGCCTAAATAACGACAAAATAAATTTTCTGAATGGAATTACATGACTTTTGCTATACTTAACCACATGACATAAGCCACATTAACTTACTCCTAATCCTAACCACACAAGTCACATTAACTTACCCATAATCCTTAGCCTTAATTGTGAATTATTTTGTCTACCATGTTATTTTATAACTAGTGTTAAGTAAGTCCAGCACCCTGTTGGACCACAGCATTTAAAGGGATAAGTGCTCAGCATATGCCCAACTGCTTTTACTTGCCCTAACCTGAATTAAGTACCCATCAGAGCTGGGTGGACTAGAGTCAGGTACCCATCAGAGCTGGGTGGACTAGAGTCAGGTACCCATCAGAGCTGAGTGGACTAGAGTCAGGTACCCATCAGAGCTGGGTGGACTAGAGTCAGGTACCCATCAGAGCTGGGTGGACTAGTCAGGTAACCATCAGAGCTGGGTGGACTAGAGTCAGGTACAAAAACCATGGGTTCACAGAGGTAAGCTCTACCACCCCATTTCACTGTCCCCCTAAATACTTACAGGGGACGGAGTGGTCTAGAGAGCTGGACTGCTAACCCGTAAGTCTCGAGTTCGAATCCAGGTTCAAGTCACTAGACCATCCCCGAGTCCACCCAACTGATGGGTACCTAACTCACGTTAGGGAAAGTAAAGGCGGCTGGGCATAGTGCTGACCACACTATCTCTTCATATGTTGAGGTCACAGAAACAAGTGAACTCTACTTCACTTGTCCTATAGACCGTCAGGTTTGAAAAGGGAACTTAACCTTTTAAATGCTTACATGTTAAAGGCAAAAGGGTCTTACACTGTGGTAATAATGAGGTGCAACAGTGCGCATTATCAGTGCACCAGCATAAAGGAAGATAAAACGTGTGACCAACCCTTTCCCTGGCTCTCCTGGCTCGCTCTTCTCGCAGTTTTTGTTTTTCTTTGATTTCCATCAGCTTCCGTTCTCTATTGAGTTGGGCCATGTTGTCTCTGGTCTCAGCCTGAATGCAAAAAGTAGGTCAGCAATATGTCCACCAATATGTCATGGGGCTCTATAAATAGATCTTAAAACTAAACTAGACTATCTTCAGTGAAGAGGATGGCAGCATCAGACTCCATGCATTTTAGTAAGACACGTCACAGTCAAACACAAACTGAACTGAAATAAACATCAAACCTTGACCTTTAAAAACTGAACTGAAATAAACATCAAACCTTGACCTTTAAAAACTGAACTGAAATAAACATCAAACCTTGACCTTTAAAAACTGAACTGAAATAAACATCAAACCTTGACCTTTAAAAACTGAACTGAAATAAACATCAAACCTTGACCTTTAAAAACTGAACTGAAATAAACATCAAACCTTGACCTTTAAAAACTGAACTGAAATAAACATCAAACCCTGACCTTTAAAAACTGAACTGAAATAAACATCAAACCCTGACCTTTAAAAACTGAACTGAAATAAACATCAAACCTTGACCTTTAAAAACTGAACTGAAATAAACATCAAACCTTGACCTTTAAAAACTGAACTGAAATAAACATCAAACCTTGACCTTTAAAAACTGAACTGAAATAAACATCAAACCCTGACCTTTAAAAACTGAACTGAAATAAACATCAAACCTTGACCTTTAAAAACTGAACTGAAATTCAATATCAAACCTTCACATTTTCTACTTCTAGTTGCTGTTTTAAACCAAATTCTCGAGCTTGAAGCAATTCACGTCTTCTCTTCGATGATCTCTGAGAGCTTTTAATCTTTTTCTGTTTCATCTGAGAAATTAAGAAAGCAGAGAATTTATCCCATCAGTTACAAAACATTTGATCAACTACATTATATCTATATTTTAATAAATTGGTTTTTCAAAATTTAGACTAAAATCTTTGTTACAAATTACAAAAGACTATTCCTGTATATGAAGTCTTACTTTTTCTCTTTTCTCTTCAGCCATGCGCATCTTGTCAGCTAATTGTTCCGCCGTCAGTCTGGGAAAATTAAGGGGCTCCAATGTCTGAAATTGAGTTAAAATGATTTTATGTAATAACATCAAGTGTTAGAGTGAGAGCCTTTAACATTCACACGTGTCCTGCCATCTTATTTCTATAGTCAACTACTGGACATTTAGAAATAGATAAAGAAGAGCCACTCTACTTCACCAGACTGGTGGAAAGAAATTTAGCTAAGTGTGCACAGACAGGCCTACTGATATGATTATATTATAACAATTGAGGCTTAGCATTTGTTGTGGACTTGCCATTTGTTGTTTATTTTTCAGCTTGAGTTTATTGCTGTAGAAGTTCTCAGACTGAGGAAACTTGGGCCAGTGTCATCCCCCCCACTGCCCCAAAAATTTTAAGTGCCCCCCCATGAGAAAAAAGTCTGGAAGAAATGCTGATACTGGGTGGGGTGAGGATTAAGTTGCAGTATGCTTGGTGGGGTTGCCCTTTTATGCATTTACCTCTCCCGCTGACTATGAAGAACTAGCTACACTCCTCACTAATGTCCATCAAGCGTTTCTTTCAGACATTTCTCTCCAGGAAGGGTGGACAATGGTTACATAGTTTCTTTATTAACTATATTTAAAAAAATTTTTGCCAGGGGACACATCCACCAACTTCTGACAAGATGCCTGAAAGAAACTCTGAGACCATTAGTTTAGTTAAGGTCTAATTAATGACCATGTGTTTAGTTAAGGTTTCATTAATGACCTTGACTTCTTACCAGAAGATTTGGAGGTCGTCTTTTAAACAGCAATAAGTTGCCTCCACTTTCACCATCCAATGTGACATCGAACGCAACACTTTTTGGGACTGCAAGGACAAATAATAATTGATACTAGACTACCCGTTATCTAGTTAAATAACTGTCGGTTTCGGGGGGGGGGGGTCATCCATAAATGACATCACGTCTGCCAGCACTTATCATCCCTAAATAACCAGACCCCACATTCAAAAAGACGTTTTTTATATTTTAAAAACTCTACTAAACTCTACTTCACCTGCCCAGTGCCCCGCCAAGTCTCAGACAAATTTGTATTTTAAAAAAAACGATTCCGGCCGAGCATGGCTCTGACCATACTACCCCTTCATATGCTGAGAACATAGAAACAGGTGAAGTCCACTTCACTGGCCCTGTGCCCCGCGAGGTCGTGATAGTCAACCCTATCATTCACATATAGGTCTTAAGAATAAATAATTGAAAACATTGTTGTAAAAAAAAATCATTTTAATATTATTAAAGTCATTGTTCTAAACTTTAATAATTAATGTGGTTAATCTACCAATGAATATATCAATAAATTAATTAACGGCTTTAAATTAGTTTGTAATTAACAGTGTGTTCAAGAAAGAACAATATTTATCATCCAAAATCCTATTATACAGCTATACACATAATGTAGATTCTCCCCAATAACAAATAAAAAAAACAAACAAACAAAAAATGAGTTTTGAAACGTGACTATTCAGTCAAAGTTAAGCCATTGTTCTAAAACTTTAAAATTAATGTGGTTAATCTACCTATGAATAAATCAAAAAATTAATTAACGTCTTTAAATAAATGTGTGATTAACAGTCTGTCTGCAATCAAAAATTGTTCTCTACCTACATACTATTTTACAGCCCCCCATATAGAACAGTTTCCTTACCGTACCAAATCAGACAAACAAACAAATATTCAAACATGTAAACAAACTTGAGTTTTAGTAGTATATACGAAGTATATAGATAAGATAGATGAAGTAGTTACATGACTCCATGATGGTAAATTATTTCATCTGCACATTAAACTGTAACATTAATTCCATGTTCATCAAAATGCAAACAAAATTACCATAATAACTTTTACGTTAATCATTAATGTCGACGGGCAGAATGTAGGCCCTACTTAACTAGGTAGGCTAGACTTATTAGGTTTCAGTTGATAAATGTGGTGTGGGTGTCTATAGAATAGATGTGTTTAAAATACCTGGAAATTGTTCCTTGACTAGTATAGTGTTGGCATTTCTGTCAATGTCTGGAATCTTTTTCTTCTGAAATACATCTGTCTTGTTATCATCTTTTGGTAACACATTTTCATTTGTTTGTTTGACAGAGGATACATCTGAGTTGTTTTCCACATTGTCTGTAGATCTAGAAGGTTTGGGGTTTATACGTGAGGAAGAGCATCCCATAGTCACTATGATAGTGGAGAGTGAATGCTTCAAAGTTTAAATCAAAGTGAATCAAACTGTGGCCCTCTTGCCTTATCTTTATATCTTACTTTAACTTTAATAAATTAAATTAAATCTGGTTCATTTACGCTCAAATAATTTCACAATTTTTATTGAAATCGAAACATTCGAACTGTAATTCAAATTTTAAATACACTCAAGTTTAAAAAAAAATAGATTCTAGACTAAGTAAACGCCACTCAACGCAGCCTCGAGTAGCGGGAATGTAAGTTTTCGTGATTTTATTAAAAGAAACATCCCCAACAATAAACATGTTTCGTGACGTAGCGTCTCATGGAGACATGTAAACAACTATATTATTAAATCTAGTTCCGGTGCATTACAATCGTCAATAGTCGCGCCATATTTTATTCTTTAAAAACAGAAATGGTATTTTAAAATTAATTTTGAAACAAATTAACTAATTTGTTTCGCTTAACCATGCAATGTTATAAAATGTTTACTCTAGTCCTAGTGATCATTTTTTTAACATTAAAAGAGCATTCACCGAAACATTAAATTACAAAACTAAAAGGTAAATTCCAATAACAATGAATCAATGAAGGCCTACTCGTGCATGAGAAGTAAAGAGCTGTTTTCAGAGGGTTGGTGGGGTGACTTGTTACGCCATTTTAGGTGTTTTGTCCTGACGTAGGGGAGAAGAAGGTAAAATTTTTGATAAAAAACGTTTAAAAACACAATTGCGGGACGTGTCCTGGTGGGGGGGGGGGGGGGGGGGGGAGGGGAGGGCTGTGATGCACTACAAAAGAGTCTCATCCGGTTTTGTATTACCGCCCGGGACCGCGGTGACAAAAAGTTGTCCGTGTCTACAATTAGGGCGTCAGAGTGTGTGAGTTGAGTTTACCCTAGAGCAGGGGTTCCCAACCTTTTTTACTCTAGAGCACATTCTAAAATATCGGTAGGGTGGCGGGCACCACCTATTTTAAATCGACAAACTCCTTCCAGAGGCGTAGCGACCCTTCCCGTCACCCGGGGACAAAACTTTCGATTTGCACCCCCTCCCCTCAAATTTTCGATTTGCACCCCCCCCCAATAATGTTTATGAAAAAAATTCTGTCTCTGTCGAATAGTGAGAGGCGGGCACATACGAATTGTTTGGCGGGCGCCATGGCGCCCGCGGGCACGTGATTGGGAACCCCTGCCCTAGAGTATTGTTACCCCCGGTGTGTTTATGTATAGTTGTCCCAAGGTTGAATGCGGTAAAAAGTTGGAGTGGATGGTTGTCAGGGTTAGTTGGTAGCGGTTAGAGCGACCCTGTAACGTTGACGTGAAACTAAATAAAAGTTTACAATATGTGCCACGAATCGTTGTTGAGTTGAATCGAACCGGGACGTAATATCAATGACTACCATAGGACCAGTGGCGTAGCGAGGTCGGGTGTCACCCGATGCGGCACTTAATGGTGTCACCTCCCAGCGACCCTTCCCGGGGACAAACTTTCAAATTTTTGATTTGCACCCCCCCTCAAACTTTCGATTTGCGCCCCCCCCTCAAGTTTTTCTCTATATATTTTGCTATTCTTTGCCTTGGTGTCACCCCCGACCCCCCCCCCCCCTCTGCACAGGACTACCCTTTCCCTGATGCCCGCTTTTTCTATATAAGTTTTGCCATAAGGACAGTGTAATGTTAAAATGAATGACAGACGACTGAGTGTTATAATTTGTTTTGGCTGAGATCGGCAAATATATAGAAAGTTACGATGACACCATGACACAACATATCGCAATTTAAAAAAAAAAATAAAAAAAATAATAAAAAATTGCTTTAAAAAATAAATTAATGCCACCTATGCTATAGTTAACACGTTTACGTCATGTTGTCACGCAAACCCTCTTGTAATAATTGTGCATTTGTACTTAAAAGACTATTTTTTTCTCAAGTATTTAAGCTAGACGATTTTTTTAATAATAAAAAGTAAACATAACTAAATAATGGATAACACAATGAGCCCGTGTGACACTGTTCAGCGACGTTGTCCAGTGGAGAGAACCGCCTAAGATTTTTAAACTATTATTAACAAATTTCCATAAAACATTTTAATAGGTCTACATTTTCAAAATACAATTCAAACGTTTTTACTTTCTCGTATACAGAGTATAGAGAAAGTCTTGTAATCGTGCAAAAAATAAAATAATAATCAAGATTTTGCAAATCTCGACGTTTTACACCTCTTGTCCGTATGTCTGTGTGTATGTGAAAACGATCACTTGAGTACCGTTACAGCTAGGTTGATGAAATTTCATATACAAGTATTATATCAAATTTGTAGTTCTATATAAACTTTTCAGCGATTTCCGATAACCGGAACCTTTTCTACTTTAAATTTTTCAAAAGCCTATAACTTGAGTACTATTTCAGATAAATAAATGAAATTTCACGTGTAAGTAAGAGATCAAATTCTCTGCCGTCTATCAAATTTTGAGTAATTTCCGTTGACAGGAAGTAGTAATTTAAGCTATTTCCGATTATTCCGCACTATTATACACATTTTGTTTAGCGTTCACTTGGTGCTTAATTCTTTTTTCTACGAGATTCTATTATATTTTAAAAAGTTTAATGGTATAAAAATCATGTCTATATCCCGAGTTGCATCCCCTGTTGTTTTATATAAGAGTATTCAAGAAAGTTTAGGGAAGATCACTCCCGGTTTATTAAATTTGTAGTATACATTCTATATTTACAATAAAACATTTAGGGTACAAAAATAACATTAATATTTACAATAAAACATTTAGTGGTACAAAAATAACAATATTTACAATAAAACATTTAGGGGTACAAAAATAATATTATTTACAATAAAACATTTAGTGGTACAAAAATAACAATATTTACAATAAAACATTTAGGGGTACAAAAATAATATTATTTACAATAAAACTATAGAAATTTAGGTCTACATAAGTAGGGGCCTTTAAAGAGCCCGGGTCACCCGACCATCGCATGCCGCCTCTATTGATGTTTGACAGTGAAATCAAGTAATTCCCCCCCCCCCCCCCTCTGCGTAGGAAACCTAATTTACGGACCCCATATGCTCAGGGGCGATCAACTGCTGCCGGGGCACTCAGTGACGACCCTGCGTTGATGAAGTTATCGACTCAAATAGCCCATAGTGTATGGCGATCCTTAAAACAAACGTAGGCTTCACAGTGTTCGTCCGCCGGCGGATTCGCACCGTGCAGTGTGAGCATAGAATCAATTAGTAAATTAGTACCTCTGACCCCTTGTGCAAGACGCCCAATCATGGGGCCCCTATGAAACATAATGGATCAACAGACACATATAGAAATACATACAGAATATATATATACATACAGATACATATAGAAATATAAACGAGATGTTGGGGACCGAGTTCAGAAAGAACTTTGTGCTTGACCAATCAATTGAGTAGTGTTAAGGTCAAACAAACATTGAAAAGAGAAAAATTAAATTTATAAAACGATAATTGAAAAAATTACAATCTGCTGGTTAAAGCAGGAAATAATCACAGTACATTACCAGCTACAGGCAATACCAGCTATAGACAATACCAAGTATAGGCAATACCAGCTATAGGCAGTACCAGCTATAGGCAGTACCAGCTATAGACAATACCAACTATGGCAATACCAACTATGGCAATACCAACTATGGCAATACCAACTATGGCAATACCAACTATGGCAATACCAGCTATATGTAATAGTACAGCTACTTGTTTGCAAGGGCAGGTTTTTGTCTCTTGGTCAGCAAATATATGATTTAGGTCTAATAAATTTTTTTAGACACGTCAGTTCAAACCAGATGAAGTTAATGTCAGTCCTACATCAGTTTAAGGTGTGAGGTTTGGACAACATCAGTTTAAGGTGTGAGGTTTGGACAACATCAGTTTAAGGTGTGAGGTTTGGACACATGACAACATCAGTTTAAGGTGTGAGGTTTGGACACATGACAACATCAGTTTAAGGTGTGAGGTTTGGACAACATCAGTTTAAGGTGTGAGGTTTGGACACCTGACAACATCAGTTTAAGGTGTGAGGTTTGGACACCTGACAACATCAGTTTAAGGTGTGAGGTTTGGACACATGACAACATCAGTTTAAGGCGTGAGGTTTGGACTACATCAGTTTAAGGTGTGAGGTTTGGACACCTGACAACATCAGTTTAAGGTGTGAGGTTTGGACACCTGACAACATCAGTTTAAGGTGTGAGGTTTGGACACATGACAACATCAGTTTAAGGTGTGAGGTTTGGACACATGACAACATCAGTTTAAGGTGTGAGGTTTGGACAACATCAGTTTAAGGTGTGAGGTTTGGACAACATCAGTTTAAGGTGTGAGGTTTGGACACATGACTACATCAGTTTAAGGTGTGAGGTTTGGACACATGACATGACAACATCAGTTTAAGGTGTGAGGTTTGGACACCTGACAACATCAGTTTAAGGTGTGAGGTTTGGACACCTGACAACATCAGTTTAAGGTGTGAGGTTTGGACAACATCAGTTTAAGGTGTGAGGTTTGGACAACATCAGTTTAAGGTGTGAGGTTTGGACACCTGACAACATCAGTTTAAGGTGTGAGGTTTGGACACCTGACAACATCAGTTTAAGGTGTGAGGTTTGGACACCTGACAACATCAGTTTAAGGTGTGAGGTTTGGACACCTGACAACATCAGTTTAAGGTGTGAGGTTTGGACAACATCAGTTTAAGGTGTGAGGTTTGGACACCTGACTACATCAGTTTAAGGTGTGAGGTTTGGACACCTGACTACATCAGTTTAAGGTGTGAGGTTTGGACAACATCAGTTTAAGGTGTGAGGTTTGGACAACATCAGTTTAAGGTGTGAGGTTTGGACACCTGACAACATCAGTTTAAGGTGTGAGGTTTGGACACCTGACAACATCAGTTTAAGGTGTGAGGTTTGGACAACATCAGTTTAAGGTGTGAGGTTTGGACACCTGACAACATCAGTTTAAGGTGTGAGGTTTGGACACCTGACAACATCAGTTTAAGGTGTGAGGTTTGGACAACATCAGTTTAAGGTGTGAGGTTTGGACAACATCAGTTTAAGGTGTGAGGTTTGGACAACATCAGTTTAAGGTGTGAGGTTTGGACAACATCAGTTTAAGGTGTGAGGTTTGGACACCTGACAACATCAGTTTAAGGTGTGAGGTTTGGACACCTGACAACATCAGTTTAAGGTGTGAGGTTTGGACAACATCAGTTTAAGGTGTGAGGTTTGGACAACATCAGTTTAAGGTGTGAGGTTTGGACAACATCAGTTTAAGGTGTGAGGTTTGGACACCTGACAACATCAGTTTAAGGTGTGAGGTTTGGACACCTGACAACATCAGTTTAAGGTGTGAGGTTTGGACAACATCAGTTTAAGGTGTGAGGTTTGGACACCTGACAACATCAGTTTAAGGTGTGAGGTTTGGACACCTGACAACATCAGTTTAAGGTGTGAGGTTTGGACAACATCAGTTTAAGGTGTGAGGTTTGGACAACATCAGTTTAAGGTGTGAGGTTTGGACACCTGACAACATCAGTTTAAGGTGTGAGGTTTGGACAACATCAGTTTAAGGTGTGAGGTTTGGACACCTGACAACATCAGTTTAAGGTGTGAGGTTTGGACACCTGACAACATCAGTTTAAGGTGTGAGGTTTGGACAACATCAGTTTAAGGTGTGAGGTTTGGACACCTGACAACATCAGTTTAAGGTGTGAGGTTTGGACAACATCAGTTTAAGGTGTGAGGTTTGGACAACATCAGTTTAAGATGTGAGGTTTGGACACCTGACAACATCAGTTTAAGGTGTGAGGTTTGGACACCTGACAACATCAGTTTAAGGTGTGAGGTTTGGACAACATCAGTTTAAGGCGTGAGGTTTGGACTACATCAGTTTAAGGTGTGAGGTTTGGACAACATCAGTTTAAGGTGTGAGGTTTGGACACCTGACAACATCAGTTTAAGGTGTGAGGTTTGGACACATGACAACATCAGTTTAAGGTGTGAGGTTTGGACACATGACAACATCAGTTTAAGGTGTGAGGTTTGGACAACATCAGTTTAAGGTGTGAGGTTTGGACAACATCAGTTTAAGGTGTGAGGTTTGGACAACATCAGTTTAAGGTGTGAGGTTTGGACAACATCAGTTTAAGGTGTGAGGTTTGGACAACATCAGTTTAAGGTGTGAGGTTTGGACACCTGACAACATCAGTTTAAGGTGTGAGGTTTGGACACCTGACAACATCAGTTTAAGGTGTGAGGTTTGGACACATGACAACATCAGTTTAAGGTGTGAGGTTTGGACACCTGACAACATCAGTTTAAGGTGTGAGGTTTGGACAACATCAGTTTAAGGTGTGAGGTTTGGACACATGACAACATCAGTTTAAGGTGTGAGGTTTGGACAACATCAGTTTAAGGTGTGAGGTTTGGACAACATCAGTTTAAGGTGTGAGGTTTGGACACATGACAACATCAGTTTAAGGTGTGAGGTTTGGACAACATCAGTTTAAGGTGTGAGGTTTGGACACCTGACAACATCAGTTTAAGGTGTGAGGTTTGGACAACATCAGTTTAAGGTGTGAGGTTTGGACACCTGACAACATCAGTTTAAGGTGTGAGGTTTGGACAACATCAGTTTAAGGCGTGAGGTTTGGACTACATCAGTTTAAGGTGTGAGGTTTGGACACCTGACAACATCAGTTTAAGGTGTGAGGTTTGGACACCTGACAACATCAGTTTAAGGTGTGAGGTTTGGACACCTGACAACATCAGTTTAAGGTGTGAGGTTTGGACACCTGACAACATCAGTTTAAGGTGTGAGGTTTGGACACCTGACTACATCAGTTTAAGGTGTGAGGTTTGGACAACATCAGTTTAAGGTGTGAGGTTTGGACAACATCAGTTTAAGGTGTGAGGTTTGGACACATGACAACATCAGTTTAAGGTGTGAGGTTTGGACAACATCAGTTTAAGGTGTGAGGTTTGGACACCTGACAACATCAGTTTAAGGTGTGAGGTTTGGACAACATCAGTTTAAGGTGTGAGGTTTGGACACCTGACAACATCAGTTTAAGGTGTGAGGTTTGGACAACATCAGTTTAAGGCGTGAGGTTTGGAACCTGACAACATCAGTTTAAGGTGTGAGGTTTGGACACCTGACAACATCAGTTTAAGGTGTGAGGTTTGGACACCTGACAACATCAGTTTAAGGTGTGAGGTTTGGACACATGACAACATCAGTTTAAGGTGTGAGGTTTGGACACATGACAACATCAGTTTAAGGTGTGAGGTTTGGACAACATCAGTTTAAGGTGTGAGGTTTGGACACATGACAACATCAGTTTAAGGTGTGAGGTTTGGACAACATCAGTTTAAGGTGTGAGGTTTGGACACCTGACAACATCAGTTTAAGGTGTGAGGTTTGGACAACATCAGTTTAAGGTGTGAGGTTTGGACAACATCAGTTTAAGGTGTGAGGTTTGGACAACATCAGTTTAAGGTGTGAGGTTTGGACACATGACAACATCAGTTTAAGGTGTGAGGTTTGGACAACATCAGTTTAAGGTGTGAGGTTTGGACACCTGACAACATCAGTTTAAGGTGTGAGGTTTGGACACATGACAACATCAGTTTAAGGTGTGAGGTTTGGACAACATCAGTTTAAGGTGTGAGGTTTGGACAACATCAGTTTAAGGTGTGAGGTTTGGACAACATCAGTTTAAGGTGTGAGGTTTGGACACATGACAACATCAGTTTAAGGTGTGAGGTTTGGACAACATCAGTTTAAGGTGTGAGGTTTGGACAACATCAGTTTAAGGTGTGAGGTTTGGACACATGACAACATCAGTTTAAGGTGTGAGGTTTGGACAACATCAGTTTAAGGTGTGAGGTTTGGACACCTGACAACATCAGTTTAAGGTGTGAGGTTTGGACAACATCAGTTTAAGGTGTGAGGTTTGGACACCTGACAACATCAGTTTAAGGTGTGAGGTTTGGACAACATCAGTTTAAGGTGTGAGGTTTGGACACCTGACAACATCAGTTTAAGGTGTGAGGTTTGGACAACATCAGTTTAAGGTGTGAGGTTTGGACACCTGACAACATCAGTTTAAGGTGTGAGGTTTGGACACCTGACAACATCAGTTTAAGGTGTGAGGTTTGGACAACATCAGTTTAAGGTGTGAGGTTTGGACACATGACAACGTGTAGTTTACACAGGCTGTGGCTGACTGACTCGACTTTACCACGACACTTGCAGCGGTACCTCCGACCATCTGGATCTGCCTCCAAGAAACTTTCCCTGGCATTTTCATAATTGCAGTAAGCAAAAAGCACAACATTTTTCTGGGGAGGAAAACGAAATCTATTTATTTGAATGACAACATTGGATGTTGACAAAACCACTTTCCCAAAGAAATTATTTTAAAATCTCTCCCACCCCCTGCTCAAAATTTCCGGAACAGAATAATACAGTTGTTGTTGACAGAATAAGACAGTTGTTGTAGTTGCTGACATAATAAGACAGTTGTTGCTGACAGAATAAGACAGTTGTTGCTGACAGAATAAGACAGTTGTTGCTGACAAAATAAGACAGTTGTTGCTGACAGAATAAGACAGTTGTTGCTGACAGAATAAGACAGTTGTTGCTGACAGAATAAGACAGTTGTTGCTGACAGAATAAGACAGTTGTTGCTGACAGAATAAGACAGTTGTTGCTGACAGAATAAGACAGTTGTTGTAGTTGCTGACAGAATAAGACAGTTGTTGTAGCTGCTGACAGAATAAGACAGTTGTTGCTGACAGAATAAGACAGTTGTTGCTGACAGAATAAGACAGTTGTTGCTGACAGAATAAGACAGTTGTTGTAGTTGCTGACAGAATAAGACAGTTGTTGCTGACAGAATAAGACAGTTGTTGTAGTTGTTGACAGAATAAGACAGTTGTTGCTGACAGAATAAGACAGTTGTTGCTGACAGAATAAGACAGTTGTTGTAGTTGCTGACAGAATAAGACAGTTGTTGTAGTTGCTGACAGAATAAGACAGTTGTTGCTGACAGAATAAGACAGTTGTTGTAGTTGCTGACAAAATAAGACAGTTGTTGCTGACAGAATAAGACAGTTGTTGCTGACAGAATAAGACAGTTGTTGCTGACAAAATAAGACAGTTGTTGCTGACAGAATAAGACAGTTGTTGCTGACAGAATAAGACAGTTGTTGCTGACAGAATAAGACAGTTGTTGCTGACAGAATAAGACAGTTGTTGCTGACAGAATAAGACAGTTGTTGTAGTTGCTGACAGAATAAGACAGTTGTTGCTGACAGAATAAGACAGTTGTTGCTGACAGAATAAGACAGTTGTTGTAGTTGCTGACAGAATAAGACAGTTGTTGTAGCTGCTGACAGAATAAGACAGTTGTTGCTGACAGAATAAGACAGTTGTTGCTGACAGAATAAGACAGTTGTTGCTGACAGAATAAGACAGTTGTTGCTGACAGAATAAGACAGTTGTTGCTGACAGAATAAGACAGTTGTTGTAGTTGCTGACAGAATAAGACAGTTGTTGCTGACAGAATAAGACAGTTGTTGCTGACAGAATAAGACAGTTGTTGCTGACAGAATAAGACAGTTGTTGTAGCTGCTGACAGAATAAGACAGTTGTTGCTGACAGAATAAGACAGTTGTTGCTGACAAAATAAGACAGTTGTTGCTGACAGAATAAGACAGTTGTTGCTGACAGAATAAGACAGTTGTTGCTGACAGAATAAGACAGTTGTTGCTGACAGAATAAGACAGTTGTTGTAGTTGCTGACAGAATAAGACAGTTGTTGCTGACAGAATAAGACAGTTGTTGCTGACAGAATAAGACAGTTGTTGCTGACAGAATAAGACAGTTGTTGTAGTTGCTGACAGAATAAGACAGTTGTTGCTGACAGAATAAGACAGTTGTTGTAGTTGTTGACAGAATAAGACAGTTGTTGCTGACAGAATAAGACATTTGTTGCTGACAGAATAAGACAGTTGTTGCTGACAGAATAAGACAGTTGTTGTAGTTGTTGACAGAATAAGACAGTTGTTGCTGACAGAATAAGACAGTTGTTGCTGACAAAATAAGACAGTTGTTGCTGACAGAATAAGACAGTTGTTGCTGACAGAATAAGACAGTTGTTGCTGACAGAATAAGACAGTTGTTGCTGACAGAATAAGACAGTTGTTGTAGTTGCTGACAGAATAAGACAGTTGTTGCTGACAGAATAAGACAGTTGTTGCTGACAGAATAAGACAGTTGTTGCTGACAGAATAAGACAGTTGTTGTAGTTGCTGACAGAATAAGACAGTTGTTGCTGACAGAATAAGACAGTTGTTGTAGTTGTTGACAGAATAAGACAGTTGTTGCTGACAGAATAAGACAGTTGTTGCTGACAGAATAAGACAGTTGTTGCTGACAGAATAAGACAGTTGTTGTAGTTGTTGACAGAATAAGACAGTTGTTGCTGACAGAATAAGACAGTTGTTGCTGACAGAATAAGACAGTTGTTGCTGACAGAATAAGACAGTTGTTGCTGACAGAATAAGACAGTTGTTGCTGACAGAATAAGACAGTTGTTGCTGACAGAATAAGACAGTTGTTGTAGTTGCTGACAGAATAAGACAGTTGTTGCTGACAGAATAAGACAGTTGTTGCTGACAGAATAAGACAGTTGTTGCTGACAGAATAAGACAGTTGTTGCTGACAGAATAAGACAGTTGTTGTAGCTGCTGACAGAATAAGACAGTTGTTGTAGTTGTTGACAGAATAAGACAGTTGTTGTAGTTGTTGACAGAATAAGACAGTTGTTGTAGTTGCTGACAGAATAAGACAGTTGTTGCTGACAGAATAAGACAGTTGTTGCTGACAGAATAAGACAGTTGTTGCTGACAGAATAAGACAGTTGTTGCTGACAGAATAAGACAGTTGTTGCTGACAGAATAAGACAGTAGTTGCTGACAGAATAAGACAGTTGTTGTAGTTGCTGACAGAATAAGACAGTTGTTGCTGACAGAATAAGACAGTTGTTGCTGACAGAATAAGACAGTTGTTGCTGACAGAATAAGACAGTTGTTGTAGTTGCTGACAGAATAAGACAGTTGTTGCTGACAGAATAAGACAGTTGTTGCTGACAGAATAAGACAGTTGTTGTAGTTGCTGACAGAATAAGACAGTTGTTGCTGACAGAATAAGACAGTTGTTGCTGACAGAATAAGACAGTTGTTGTAGCTGCTGACAGAATAAGACAGTTGTTGCTGACAGAATAAGACAGTTGTTGCTGACAGAATAAGACAGTTGTTGCTGACAGAATAAGACAGTTGTTGCTGACAGAATAAGACAGTTGTTGTAGTTGCTGACAGAATAAGACAGTTGTTGCTGACAGAATAAGACAGTTGTTGCTGACAGAATAAGACAGTTGTTGCTGACAGAATAAGACAGTTGTTGTAGCTGCTGACAGAATAAGACAGTTGTTGCTGACAGAATAAGACAGTTGTTGCTGACAAAATAAGACAGTTGTTGCTGACAGAATAAGACAGTTGTTGCTGACAGAATAAGACAGTTGTTGCTGACAGAATAAGACAGTTGTTGCTGACAGAATAAGACAGTTGTTGTAGTTGCTGACAGAATAAGACAGTTGTTGCTGACAGAATAAGACAGTTGTTGCTGACAGAATAAGACAGTTGTTGCTGACAGAATAAGACAGTTGTTGTAGTTGCTGACAGAATAAGACAGTTGTTGCTGACAGAATAAGACAGTTGTTGTAGTTGTTGACAGAATAAGACAGTTGTTGCTGACAGAATAAGACAGTTGTTGCTGACAGAATAAGACAGTTGTTGCTGACAGAATAAGACAGTTGTTGTAGTTGTTGACAGAATAAGACAGTTGTTGCTGACAGAATAAGACAGTTGTTGCTGACAGAATAAGACAGTTGTTGCTGACAGAATAAGACAGTTGTTGCTGACAGAATAAGACAGTTGTTGTAGTTGCTGACAGAATAAGACAGTTGTTGTAGTTGCTGACAGAATAAGACAGTTGTTGCTGACAGAATAAGACAGTTGTTGTAGTTGCTGACAAAATAAGACAGTTGTTGCTGACAGAATAAGACAGTTGTTGCTGACAGAATAAGACAGTTGTTGCTGACAAAATAAGACAGTTTTTGCTGACAGAATAAGACAGTTGTTGCTGACAGAATAAGACAGTTGTTGCTGACAGAATAAGACAGTTGTTGCTGACAGAATAAGACAGTTGTTGTAGTTGCTGACAGAATAAGACAGTTGTTGCTGACAGAATAAGACAGTTGTTGCTGACAGAATAAGACAGTTGTTGCTGACAGAATAAGACAGTTGTTGCTGACAGAATAAGACAGTTGTTGTAGTTGCTGACAGAATAAGACAGTTGTTGTAGTTGCTGACAGAATAAGACAGTTGTTGCTGACAGAATAAGACAGTTGTTGCTGACAGAATAAGACAGTTGTTGTAGTTGCTGACAAAATAAGACAGTTGTTGCTGACAGAATAAGACAGTTGTTGCTGACAGAATAAGACAGTTGTTGCTGACAAAATAAGAAAGTTGTTGCTGACAGAATAAGACAGTTGTTGCTGACTAAATAAGACAGTTGTTGCTGACAGAATAAGACAGTTGTTGTAGTTGTTGACAGAATAAGACAGTTGTTGCTGACAAAATAAGACAGTTGTTGTAGTTGCTGACATAATAAGACAGTTGTTGCTGACAGAATAAGACAGTTGTTGCTGACAAAATAAGACAGTTGTTGCTGACAGAATAAGACAGTTGTTGTAGTTGCTGACAGAATAAGACAGTTGTTGTAGCTGCTGACAGAATAAGACAGTTGTTGCTGACAGAATAAGACAGTTGTTGCTGACAGAATAAGACAGTTGTTGCTGACAGAATAAGACAGTTGTTGCTGACAGAATAAGACAGTTGTTGCTGACAGAATAAGACAGTTGTTGTAGTTGCTGACAGAATAAGACAGTTGTTGTAGTTGCTGACAGAATAAGACAGTTGTTGCTGACAGAATAAGACAGTTGTTGCTGACAGAATAAGACAGTTGTTGCTGACAGAATAAGACAGTTGTTGCTGACAGAATAAGACAGTTGTTGTAGCTGCTGACAGAATAAGACAGTTGTTTCTGACAGAATAAGACAGTTGTTGCTGACAGAATAAGACAGTTGTTGTAGTTGCTGACAGAATAAGACAGTTGTTGTAGCTGCTGACAGAATAAGACAGTTGTTGCTGACAGAATAAGACAGTTGTTGCTGACAGAATAAGACAGTTGTTGCTGACAGAATAAGACAGTTGTT